CTTTCTACTTCTAATCCTTTTGTGCTAGTAGTACCTTCAAAACCATTCTCTCATAATCAGAATAAGCCTTACACAAGGCCTGCCTTCGACGAGTGCAGTTTCTGTAAGCAGAAAGATCATTGAAAGGCTTAATGTCCCAAGTTAAGATAGCAGAATCAATCGCAGCAGCAATCTCAAGCTTGGATGCCTGGCAACTAGTCACAATCTAATGCTCATAGACTACCACAGGGTTACAAACCACCACAGTCTAATACTGCAGCAGTTGTTTCATCAGGTCCTTTCACCGATTCTAGTATCTTGGCTGAGCAATTTCAGAAGTTTCTCTCCTTACAGCCACAAGCTATGTCTGTTTCTTCTTCAGGAGGTCAGTTGCCTCATAGTTCTCCAGGTATGTCACATTCTGTATGGGTCTTGGATTCTGGTGCCTCACATCATATGTTTCCAGATTCTTCATCTTTTGCTTCTGTATTTTCTTCACCTTCTAATCTTGTTATGACTACTGATGGCACTCATATGCCTTTAACAGGTGTTGGTTCTGTTGTCACACTTCACTTGTCTCTCCCTAATGTTTATTATATTCCAAAACTCACATTAAATCTTGCTTTTGTTGGTCAGTTATGTGATTTTGAAAATTTAGTCACATTTTCCTCTTCTTCTTGTTATGTGCAAGATCTGCAGTCTCAGAAACTAATTGGGACAGGCCGTAGGAAAGGGGGACTATATATTTTGGATGAGTTAAAAGTGTCAGTTGCTGCTGCTGCTGCTACTAGTGTTGATTTATCTTCTTTTCGTTTTAGTACTTCTTCTTCTAGTTTTTATTTATGGTATTCTCATTTAGGTCATGTTTCATCTTCTTGTTTGAGATTTTTGGCATCCACAAGGGCTTTAGGAAATTTGTGATATTTCTGATTGTAGTGGATGTAGACTGGCAAAATTTTCAGCTTTACCTTTTAATCAAAGTATTTCTGTTTCTTCTTCTCCATTTGATTTGATTCATTCTGATATATGGAGACCTTCTCCTGTTGCCACAAAAGAAGGGTCTCGATATTATGTTTCTTTTATTGATGATCATACTTGTTATTGTTGGATTTATTTAATGAAACATCGTTCTGAATTCTTTGAGATATATACAGCCTTTCGAGCTCTTGTCAAAACTTAACATTTTGCTGTTATCAAATGTTTTAGGTGTGATTTGGGTGGGGAATACACTTCTAATAAATTTGTTGAGTTGCTAGCCTTAGATGGAACTATTCACCAAACTTCATGTACAGATACTCCAAAGCAAAATAGTGTTGCTGAAAAAAATATAGGCACATTGTTGAAACTGTTCGTTCTCTCTTGTTGTCTTCTTTTGTTCCTAGTAAGTTTTGGGGTGAAGCTGTTCTTACTGCTGTAGGTTTAATTAATACAATTTCATCTTCTCATATTTCAAGTGTTTCTCCTTTCGAAAAGTTGTATGGGTATGCCCCTGATTATTCTTCATTTAGAGTTTTTGGTTGTACTTGTTTCGTTCTTCGTCCTCATGTTGTACTCGATCTGCTATTTGTGTCTTTCTTGGATATGGTGAAGGTAAAAAGGGGTATCGTTGTTTTGATTCAATAACTCAAAAACTTTATGTGTCTCGTCATGTTGTTTTTCTTGAGCATATACCTTTCTTTTCTATACCATCCACTACTTATAACTTGACTAGATCTGATTTTATTCGTATAGATCCTTTTTAGGAGGATTCTGATAGTTTGTCATCTCAGGTTTCTAATACTTCAAATAGCAACACTGATCATTCTACAGGTACTGACACTTTACTCTCTATCACACCTGAAGCTACCTCCTCTCCTATGGTCCCTCAAGCTCTGTCTGAGATTATGGATCCATCTTTACGTCAATCCACACGCATTCGTAAGTCCACAAAGTTACCAGATTTTACTTATTTTTGTTATTCTTTATCTTTTACTTCCTTTTTAGCTTCTATTCATTGTCTCTCTGAGCCCTCTTCCTATAAAGAGGCAATTTTTGACCCTCTTTGGCAGCAAGCTATGGATGAGGAACTTTCTGCTTTGCATAAGACAGGTACTTGGGATTTGGTTCATTTACCTCCTGGTAAGAGTGTTGTTGGTTCTCGGTGGGTGTATAAAATTAAGACCAATTCTGATGGATCTGTTGAGCAATACAAAACTATGTTAGTTGCAAAAGGGTACTCTCAACAGTATGGTATGAATTATGAGGAGACATTTGCTCCTGTTGCAAAAATGACTACTATTCGTACTCTTATTGCAGTTGTTTCGGTTCGTCAGTGGCATGTCTCTCAACTTGATGTTAAAAATGCCTTCTTGAATGGGGATCTTCAAGAAGAAGTTTATATGGCTCCCCCCCTGGTGTTTCACATGATTCTGGATATGTTTACAAGCTCAAGAAAGCGTTATATGGTCTCAAACAAGCACCTCGTGCTTGGTTTGAGAAATTTTCTGTTGTGATCTCTTTCCTTGGGTTTACTTCTAGTAGTCATGATTCTACTCTTTTTGTTAAGTACACTGATGCAGGTCGTATCATTCTGTCTTTATATGTTGATGACATAATTATTACTGGTGATGATATTAATAGTATTTCAGTTTTGAAGACAGAGTTAGCTAGACAGTTTAAAATGAAGGATTTAGGTTCTCTATGATATTTCTTGGGTATTGAGGTAGCCTGCTCACCTAGAGGTTATCTTCTTTCTCAGTCGAAATATGTTGCAGATATTCTTGAGCGAGCAAGACTTACTGATAATAAGACTGTAAATACTCCCATTGAGGTTAACGCAAAGTATTCCTCTTTTGATGATTTACCTTTGTCAGATCCTACTTTATGTTGTACTATTGTTGGGAGCTTGGTATATCTCACTTTTACTTGTCCAGATATTGCATTATGTTGTTCATGTTGTTAGTCAATTTGTTGTTTCTCCTACTATAGTTCATTGGGCAGCGGTTCTTCATATTTTGAGGTATCTTCGGGGTACAGTATTTCAGAACATTTTACTTCCATCCACCTCTTCCTTGGAGCTGTGTGCATACTCTGATGCTGATCATGACAATGATCCCACATATCGCAAATCTGTTACTGATTTCTGTATCTTTTTGGGTGATTCTCTTATTTCTTGGAAGAGCAAGAAACAATCTATTGTTTCTCAATCTTCAACCGAAACAGAATATCGTACTATGACATCTACTACCAAAGAGATTGTTTGGTTACGTTGGTTACTTGCAGATATGGGAGTTTCTCTTTCTCATCCCACTCCTATGTATTGTGACAACCGGAGTTCTATTCAGATTGTTCACAACTCGGTTTTTCATGAACGAACTAAGCACATTGAGATCGATTGTCATCTTACTCGTCATCATCTCAAGCATGGCACCATTACTTTGCCCTTTGTTTCTTCTTCTTTGCAGATTGCAGATTTCTTTACCAAGTCGCATTCTTTTTTCTGTTTTCGTTTTCTAGTGGGCAAACTCTCGATGCTTGTCGCTGCTGCATCGTGAGTTTGAGGGGAGATGTTAAGAAATATAGGGTTATTTTGTTTATTAAGGGTAGAATAGTCTTTTACTTTCCCTATCTTATTTAGCTTATATATAGTCTCTTTGTATTTAGGTTAAATTAGTTCATTGTTTTCTTCAATTCAATTATGCAGTATCAATAAAATCCTAGCCTCCTCTTTTCTTATCTCTTGTATTTCTTTAGATTGTTCAACATTCAGAGCCTTTTTCTCCCACTTCTTAGACTCTCTCACTCTATCCAACAACACTATCGAGAGAATATTCAATACAATGGTGATACCATATCATTATTAGTGACATAGTATCACTAACCAATAATAAAATATTAAATAAGAAAAGTGGACCTCATTTAATTAGTTATTGACTCACATAAAAAAATAATGAGTAGTTATCTGTTTACATAAACAGATATTATTGACGTGATATCACCATTACAATGAATATTTTTTCCTCCTGAATCAGCCAGGAAGGTCCATGGCATCTGCCCCTTGATAGCCGAATTACAACCCTAGCTTAGTACTGACTAGTGAAAGCTCATTTGTGACTATAATACCCCCTCAAAGGAAAACACCGGTGAAATAGAGAAAATGGTTGATACATCTTGCCTTTGCAAACCCAAAATCCTCTTGCTTTAAAAAAATATGTTAGTGGCATGGGCGGAGCCACCCTTGGCCTAGGGTGGTTACCCCCCCACCCCAAAAAAAAAAAAAAATTTAACAAATTGTTCTTATGTATGTTTGTATATATATATATATATATATATATATATATATATATATATATATATATATATATATATTAAACACTCTCAATTATATGTTTTGGTGTCTACTCTATTATTTCCATATAGATCTATACCTAAATGGCTACAATCATGTTATGGACACCATTCAAACATGTTCAAATAAATTTTGAATAAACAAGGGTCATTTTATAATTTTTAATAATATTACATGATCTTTTTGTTATTGACTAGAGGGTTTTTTCTTTTTTTCTTTTTTTTTTTTTTTTTTTGAGAATATCAGTTGTGTTTGGTTTGTAACTAAATGTATTATTTTTATTGTCAATTTTAGTTTAGGGAAGTACTTAGGTTTCTCCTTTCTAATAGGAGGAAAGTTGTTCGTTGTCAATAATTTCAAGTGAGAAATAGCGTAGAACAACCACCAATTCCAAAGAAAGCCAAAAAGCCATGCAATCCAGACAAAAAAGAAGATAAACCAAATGAGTAATATTATTGGGACATAATTTATAGACATAATGCGTTGTTATTAATGATAAGATAATGAATTCATTAATACTACAATGAAACTTATCATTAAATACATTGCACTATCATATTATTAGTAACAACTCATTATATCCCTAAATTATGTCTTTAAAGTATGTCCCAATAACATTAGTGAAACCAAATATACTTTTTGTGTAATTAGAGATTAGGTTTCAGCCTACAAAAGAGGACTTCTATCTGGCGCCTTATTCCATGGAATGGAACACCATAGATTGAAAGATGTTAGAGGACTGAACTCCATCAGCAGCAGCAGTGTCCTTGGCCTCGAAGTTCGCAAACAACAACATACCCGCAACAATCTGCACATTTACTTTCAGGACCTTCACAAGCTGGTACCCTGTGTCTTGCATTTTAAGAAGGCATTCGAACCCAATTCCAAAAAGAAGAAGAAAAGAAAGACATACATATGGAATAAATTAATTGACAAACACAGGCGCGAGCGTACATACATTCTCTACGTTGTACTTGGCAATGGCCTGGGCTGAACAGGTGTTGACAATCAGCGTAAGAGTAGGGTCCTCATCAAATCCCAATATTGGTCTAATCATGCACATCTCAATCTTATCAGGAAATTCTTCAACGTCAAACCCCTGTACGCATAAAACGTTACATAAAGAATCAGAAACCCAGCAGAATGGAAATAATACTGTAAAGGAGAGAAGGGAATGGTTCAGAAACACACCAGTACAAGATATAAAATACCGTAATTACCTCGCTCTCGATCTGTTTCTTGTACCTGTCGTACTCTTCCTCGGTCATGTCTGTATCCCTCAACTGAAAATCGCTGTCTTCATTGTAATAAGTTTTTTTCTCCTTCTTTTCTCCCCTGTGGTCGTTGTTGTCGTCATTATCATTGTCGTTGTCATCTCCTTCTTCACCATCATCATCATTATCATTGTCCTCCTTTAAGACACGAGTTGAATTCGAGCCGAGTTATTTGTGAGTCGAGCTCAAGCAACTCATCTCGATTAATACTCCTAATAATGATTACATCATATTAGTAATATTTTTTTTTTTGATAATTTGTCAGTGATATTAATGCGGTGTAATTATCTAATAAAAAAATCTACAAAATAAATAAAATGAAACTCATTTTCAAACATGAAAATAATTATATATTACATGACTGTGTGGCTATGAATTTTTGTGGAGTTTACTTATAGACTTATTTTACTTATTAGTAAATGGTTACACCATGCGATACAGTTGACGTGGTGTAATGGTTACACCTAATATTTTTTCTGGATCAAGAGGCCATCACTTTTAACTTTTCAAACACTATCCTATATTCGCCTTAGATTTTTTAAAATTCTATACCATTTTTTAAATTTTCAAAAAAAATTAATATTTATAGCAAGCCCACCCCAACCACTAGGGTAACAAAGCCCGGGCCTTAAGCCTCATTTTAAGGAAGACATCATAATTTCAGATGTGTAGTAATAGTCTAAACAAAAAATTATTTTCTATTTATGATTGTAAAAATTAATTTACGAAATGTGTCTACTTATTCTCTCATTTATAACATGGTAATTAATGACTACGATTAATTTAGCATGATCCCATTGTAAAAATTAATACCAATAATGCTTGTAATCTAATTTCGTAACAAATTTCACGTAACATGAAGAAAAAGGAATGAGAGGAATTTCAGTAACAAAATCAAGGTGACTCCCTCCCTCCCTCCCTCCCTCTATTCCACATTGACACACACATTTAACTTTTTTTTTTTTTTTTGCTGGTAAAACAAAAAAGGTGGGGACATGTATGTTTTAGTTATCCATCCTCTTTACTTAGACATGTATGTTCTACTAAGTTACTAAATAATAATTTTTTGATATCGTATCAAAAAAAAATTACAATTCAATTAAATGAGGTTACGAGAAAGTAGGCTCGTGTTGAATCTTATCCTAACTTTGTTCAATTGTGATTCGTTCTTGATTGAGTTATCATCTATTTTGAGTTGTAATTTGGAATAAGTAGAAGATGAATCATTAGGCCATTAATTATGGTTTCTACTAATGGAATCCTAGTTATTCAGTGAGTGAATAACTAATTAATTTTTCTATATACAGCTTGGTGTGCAGTTTTGACTTCTTGCATTATACCCAAAACTCTGTCATTTTACATGTTTAGAGGTACAGGTCGAAGAAAGTCAATCAGTCTTTTTTGTTAACGGGGTGTTAATCGAGTTGAATTTTGTAAATTCGAACTCGAACTTGGAGGGCTTATTTTTCTAAACGAATGTAAAAAATTGTTTAAGTGTGGTTAGTTTAGAACTCAAGCCGAGCTCGAGTAGCTCGATTATTTTACATATAAACGAACCAAACTTTGTGAGCTTGAGTTGAGATAAAAAATTGTTCCAACTCAACTCATTTAAAACATGAATCGAACTCGAACCGAGTTTTATCTAAGCCAAACTTGAACTAAATTTTATCTAAGTGCAATGCTATTGGGACCTAATTCACTATGACCTTTGGATTGACTGTAGAGCCCATCAAACATTAGAACTTAGTGTTGATCTAATGATTCTATTAAAACCACATCGTTATGTCAACAAATTAGGTCAAATTTTTAATTCCAAATAGTATTACTATTTATCTAAATCGAACCTAAGCTGAGCCCAAGTAGCTCATCTCGATTAACCCCTAATTGTTAAATCTAATAGCTTTAGGGCTAACATAATATTGTTAATTTGTAATTACTATTATTATTGGATTGGCAAGAAATCTCACTTAGTATTGTGATGCAAATTGGATAACAACGCAATACTTGAATCAGTGGGATCAACGTAGGGTTGTTGGTTCACATCAGTCAAACGGGTTGACTTTTTCGGGTTAACTTTCACATACATGGTTCACAAAACAACCTTGTCCAATCAAAAATGACACATTATCATTCACCCTCGTTAGAACATTTCTTTCCACCAATGTTTGTCCAGAAACATGCTTTTTGAACAAAATAAATTGGTATAATACCATGACATAAAGATGTGCTTAGTGATGTACGAGTAATGCTAGATGAATTTAAAAATTAAACTTGATAATCTCAATTATTAAATAAGTAGTAAGTCCCAATAAATACTGAGACCCACAGTGAAATCAATGAATATAATTATCAAATATAATTTTTAAATCTATGTAACATTGCTCGTGATATATAACACAAAAAAAAAAAAAAAAAAACCAACGTTTGTAGTTAGCAGTCCACCCTTACCAGTAATGACAAATTAAAAGGGAACTTCCTAAGTACTTAAATCTCTTCTTGACAGCCAGTCAAAGGATAGGGGATGCCTTTGGTACCATTTTGAGTACTCCAAATCCATTTAGCACAATTGCCTTTGTATTCAATTTGAATCAATCCCGGGCCTAAGTGACAGTGAAGTGGTGGGCCAAACCATCCCAACCAAGGTATGCCGGGATTCGCAAAGAAGAGCACCTTACAATGTTCATAACCAATCGGATCTTAACATACCAGTAGTAACAGAGGGGATTGTTACTGTATTCGTATTGAAAAGATGCAACAAAGTGTTGAAAGGTTCAAAAAACATCAAAAACTTAAAATTTGGCACAACGAAAAAAGAACCTTATATATCTAATGTAACAACAAAAACTACGAGATAATGTGAACCAGAGAAAGATTCATTCTAAAGGAAAGCAAAGGAGAAAGATTCTTTCTAAAGGAAAGCGAAGGCCCAACCTTTAGTCAATAGGAGCCCTACTTCCCACTTTGTGATCTCATTACTTCAATTCAAGCGCAAACCCATTTCTTAGTCATCACGCAGAGCACACCTGTGGTACTTCAATAGGGTGAGCTGTTTGACAGTAACTTCTTTTGTTTGGTATGGTGATGAAAGGCTACTTCAATTCCCCCACAGCAAACTAGATAGCTTTCGAATGTTCAACTGAATAAAAAGAAACAACTGATGATTGACTAAAAATACTCCCAAGTGCAAATGATCTAACCTTAAGAACAAACAAACTACTGATCTTACAGTTTGCGACATGGTAAGATAATTTCAACCAATCAGATCCGAAAAGAACAATAGGAAAAGAGGGAGAACATTTGAAGATCCATTTCTGCTATTCATGCAATATTAGTCATCATCCACTCCCCTGGATGTGCATTGTTTTGTACATGCAGTGAATCCCCGGTACTAAACAAGGGCCTCGGTCTCTTCTTTAGTGCAGCAGCCTGTGAAGCCAAGCCTGAGGGAGAAACTGGGGTTCCGTTTGGCAAGAAGCAGCCGTCAACAGAGCAGTCACCAATTCGAGCAGGCACATTTGAAGCATTTTTGTTGCCTAGACCTGCAGCAATTTCAGACAACGAATGAACTGAGATTGCCCCATGACAGTCATTGCCAACCTTGATCTTCAGTTCAGAAAGCTCTTCCCTAGCAGTTTCAAGCCCAGCAGGGGTCACAGACAAGCCATTGAGAGCTTTACAAGCCTTTTCAAGAATTGATTCCAGGTATTTGCCTTGTGCTTCGATCCGAAGTTGAAGATGACGCTGAACCTAGCTTCAATAAAACCAATAGAATAGGCTTCTTTAAAAACATAAATGGATGATGACATTGGATGCCACCAAACACAAGGCTCAAAAAAGAAGACAAAGTTGAGGTCAGAATTGGCTTGGCTTATGGTTCAGGAAAGTGCTAGACAAATTATATTTTCACAAAAGAGGTTACTGAAGATAATAGACTAATACTATGGTTTTAGAATTACAGTGAGCACCCTACATTTTATTGGCATACTCACAAGCATCCTTTCGGTTAGTTGACAATGGAATCTGATCGTGGAATCCCAAGTTGACACAGCTTGTCCTCCATCGCTACAATAGTGTCTCCTAAACTAGTATATAAGCCTTTTGAAGCTTTCCAATTTTAAGTTGAATACTCTACATGATATCAGAGTTGGATTTCAGGAAGTTTTGGGCGAGACTCTTTGTTTCAGTTCAATGATTTGGTATTGGTCCCCACTGTATGTGTCATAGGTTCACTTTTGTATTGTGTTCTAATTCTTCTGTCTCCCCACATGCGAGTAGGAGTCGCAGGTGGTGGGAGCATCACAACTAGTCCCACATTGTTACAATAGTGTCTCCTAAACTAGTATGAGTTTTGTAAGACTCCAACACATTGCCAATAGATTTTCAGTTGGATGCTCTAATAGAAGTCTTGAAAGTTGTAAAAAAAGTATGTTTTTACCCTTATTAGCCATGGTGAATAAGTGCAACAGATTATCATGCCCTTAATCGGGTTTACTTATTTACTATGATCCCTTATTTGGTTAGACATAAGGGCATAGTATGAAAGAATCTGTAAGAGAGAGACAAGAAGGTGGTTTTTCTTCTGGAGAATAATGGTAGCTAAGCATACGGTAAGGCAAAAGTGAAATAGGTGAGCAATAGGACGGACACAAAGAGGCGGCAAGCTACTCCAGGCCGACCAGTAAGCTAATAGACCGCCCAAAGGAAAGCTGGCCTGGTGATAAAGAATGGGAGCTAGGTCTTACAAACGGATGAAAAAGGAGGGAAGAATATGCAAAAGAATGGAGAAGAAGAAAAACAGAGCAGCTCAAATGATTATTCCATTAATCTCAAATCTCAGTGATAAGTTGACTACTATTTATAGAGCTGTTTAAAAGATTCAGTTGGTTAGTGAATCTGTTGTAACTGAAAGCTCATCCTAACTAACTTGTACCTGACTGAGAAATACATTGGCTCAAGCATGTGATTTCTTGAGCTTAATTCTAACTGCCTAAGCTTAACTGCCTTCATCCATTGTATCAACTAATACAATAGACCTTGTAAGGCAAAAGTTCCATAAACAAAGGACTAGTTATGCCAGCACTTTCAATGACTAGATTAACCACCAGATGAAGGAGGACGTTTGCTGTGGAATTAGACTGTACTATATGGGATGGTCCAATGCAATTCATAAAATCTACAAGTTGGAATACCAGGAGAAATGAAATTGTTTTCGACTAAAGGTGTAAGTAGAAAGGTTCTTCAAAACTCTAAAGCACACATTAGTCCACAATCCCCACATTTTTGGGGATAAGAAAAACAAAACAAAACAGAAGTCTAGTACAAATTTGCTCATTGTGAATAAAACTTTCTCCCGAGCAAATGTAGAACTGATCAAAGTGGCTAAATAGAGGTAGGAATTGGCGCCCAAAACTTGCCATCATTGTTCTGGGCTGTGCCCAGTCTAGGCATCCTGGACAATAGTTACCTCTATGAAATAAAGTATTCTACATATCTATATATTGTATTTTACTTGTCTAGTATATTCTTTTCTTTTCTTTTTCAAAGCATGAAAGTCTTGTAAAAATGAGTGTTACACATTTAAAATATTAAAAATAAAAACAATGGCCCAAAGTCTAGAAGAATCAGACCATGGGCTAGATTCCTGGCCAGGCACTTGGCCCAGGCCTAGCCCTATGGCTAAAGCTGAAAGTCTATATGTAATTGGAAAAAAGCTTGCTAGTCAGTAAGCTGCTGAAAATGGAGCAGAATCCAACCAGTAAACTGACCTCCAGCTGGTCATGCAGTCTTCGCTGGACTTCCATCTGTACTCGCAAAGCTTCGGTAATCTGGTAGCCACTGTTTAAAAGGCGAACAGCAGCATTTTTTTTCTAATAAGTAAACACATCTGCATAAATGAAGATAAGAAGGTAAGCTTTGTATGTAAAGTCTAAAGATACCACATACTCATTTTGATCTTGTGCCATCATTCTTGATGATGCTGATGTAGATGAGCCTGTGTCTTGACTTTCTGCAATGCAAGATGCTGCAAAGCTAACTTCACATTACTAATAAATCAATGAGAATATCTATTGCCGGTTATTGAAGGCAACATCTACTCCTTTTTAACTCTGGTGAAGAGGAGACTGATTTTCTACAACCATTTACTCCCCCCATACCCATGTCTATCCTACACATGCACACCCCAAACCAGTCATGGCTGTCTAGCACATCAACAAGCTGGAATTTATTTTTTTTTTGTGATCATTAGTTGTTTTCTGAAAGGAAAAAGTCTTCAAGAGGAATGAAAGATGACTGTATGAGAGAGAGAGAGAGAGGTAAAAATCTCTGAAGACCCAAAAAACTAGAAGAAACCGTGACCTACAGAATACCAAGGACATATAAGCACCAAGGTTAGAGGTTTTCCAAACTCAAAATAGCATACATGCAGAACAACCTGTATCTATAATTATGTTTGGCAATGTACAAACATCAACTCGCCATAAAGAGATTTAACTTAATACCCTCTTTAGAGTTGTCAGTTGACTCCTTGCAAGATTGCTTCCCCAGCCGGTATTTCTGCAATGACAAGACATGGAAATGCAAAAAACTTTCATGCTCATGAATAGACTAAATCATATTACCTGCAAAGCTTTACAAAAAGGGAAGCAGTAAACTTTGGCAGGAGATATGTGAAAATGAAATATTGTAGAAGCAGCTTCCTAACCAATATTCAAATTACTTAACACCCAGAACACATGGTTGTGCTGGCATGTCATACCTCTTCTTTTTTTTTTTTTTGGGGAGGGGGGGGTCGGCTATTTGTGCAACTAAATAAATAGTGAGACCAACATCATGATCATGACCCAAACAAAATCAGGGAACAACGGACCTGAAGATGTGACTTCAAATGATAGAGGGTGAGGCCTTTAACCCCCATTGTTCTCATAAGTGTCTTCGGAGTTGCTTCTGCAATGTAAACCAGGATAGATATAAGTACAAGCTAACCAATTTAACAAGAACTTTCAAGGAAAAGAACCATGGGCTCTGATATAAAAATATAGACATAGCAGGTGGGTCCAATTACAAAAAGGTCAAGTTTTTTAGGTAGATTACATGGGGCATCCAGGTAGGAAGATCTGGAATCAGATCAACTGACTATGGATAGAATTCAAAATTCAAACATAGCAATTAGGTATGATAGTTCAAATCTACGTGTAATCAAAGCATTTCTGTGAACTTTTTCCTGGCCTTTCCTGCTAAATATTGTGCTTCACAGCAACAATCAATGTAAAATCCACTTTCATACTTGTTTTCTTCCCCAAACGGCTCCATAGGTTGGCAGTTAAGTCCCATAGATGTGGACTTGAGCATATAGACAAAATTCACTACCCATGCAAGATAGTTACAAAACTTATGAGGAAAACTAAAACACGAATTCTTACAAGTGAAAAATGAATAATAGGCAGCATCCTGCTAATTGCAGAACATGATGAAAGAGGTAAGAGTGTTGCATAGACTCATCCTACAGATTGGTTCATAAGAATGACAAAACAGAGACATGAAACAGTATCTTTTGATATAAGATTTTTTATTCAGCTCTGGAAGCATGTTTGATATAGTAATCTCACCTTGGAGCAACACTCACTATTTAGGGTATGCGCATAGGTTTCTTGACAGTTATGGCCATTGCCTCTTCTTAAAAAGACAAGGATTATATATCAAGCTTCCTCCAATATTTCATGTCCTGGACAAAACATGTTATGTTTTACAATTGTGCCACTCTGAATGTCACGGGGCACTATGAACAGAAACCTGATACCTAAAGAGTGAGCATGAGCAAGAGTAGATCTACAAGCATGGAACAACTGATTTTAGAAAGCATCATGTGAGACCTGGGCATGCATATGAACAGAAACCTGATACCTAAAGAGTGAGCAGGAGCAAGAGTGGATCTACAAGCATGGGACAACTGATTTTAGGAAGCATCATGTGAGACCTGGGCATGCATTCAACATCTTTTTACTCCACTTCTCTTAAGTTGTTGAAAGAGGTAACTGCGAATATTTCAATTTGTGGTCAAATCCTTGCTCAAGTGAAAAATAAAAAGTACAAGTCAAAACCAGGGATTTCCGCAATTCAGTCTAAATGCTTCAATCCACATATTGCAAGGGAGTTTGTGGAACCTTCGAACAAATTATGTATCCTAGGTTCAAGTCAACCCATGACTACTAAAGTATGCGGAGACTGAGTAGCAACAAAGCCAAAATCCAGCAGCAAGTTGTGAGCTACAATTTGATGAGTGGGTCAGATCTGGAAGCCAATCAGAGTGGGAGGCACTACTCCTGACGATTCAAGCAGCCTGTCAAAAGCTGCTTTCTCAGCTTCTGGAATTGCGGCTTGGGCAAGATAATGGGGTGAACCTTGATGTATAGACAAAATTCGAGGAACATGCACACAAACAATTAGTTCATCTGGATAAATGTGACCAGTTTATTAGACAATAGCAATTCCAGCCACAAATACTAATTACCTCATATCAAACTTACTGTGTAAGACATCTCCTAATATCATTCCTTGCAAATGCAACTAAAGCAAAGCAACAGAATAACAGTTATTGTTATACAGTATACATAGGATCTGATTAGAAGAAGCAAGTTGCACCCAATATTCCAGCGTTGTCTTTTGCCCGAGAAAACCTTATTGAAGCTTGCCTTCATCAGGGGCAGACATAGAGTTTGGTTTGGCAGGGACCATTAGTTCTGTAATTGTCAACTTTAACTACCAATATTTTGGCTTGGAGCCCCTTGAGGTCAATATAGAACCCACCAAGAAGTTCTGCTCATATCATCATGACCCCTGAAATCTTTGCTCATCAGTTACCTATTCCAGATTACAACCCCTGTTTCTGACTTTCAATACTTGTACTCCTAAACTTCTAAATTGATGTGCTGAACAATGCTCAAAATGCCTATATGATTTTATTACCAATAATTACTGTCAGATGCTTACCCTGTGGGGTTCCCATATACATCTAACAACTCTGAATAGTTTCCTGATTTGTCACTCGCACTTGAGAATTTATCTTTTTCTTCAAATGGTCTCACCTTATTTTGAAATTACCACAATAAAAATCTCATTGCCAGAACTATTCATATACATTTGCTTGAGCAATTGCACCGTAGTTACATGTGGATTACGGGAATTAAGCGTAAAATTGTTTCACAGCTAAATTTAGTACCATAAATGGTGCATACTCCACTTTTGGTCAAATTAACATTGTTGTGTAACTAATTTTAGGAGGATTCACTTTCAAAGCTGCATTTCTACATGAACTTTCAAGGAAGCCAAGCCTCAGCCCTGAGGAGCACATAAGCAATTCTCCTCTAATACCTACTTCAACAGACTCAAAAACAAAAATACGCCTTCAACCTACAAAAGTAGGTCAAATGCATTTCAAAAATCACATTTTTTCTGGTTCTCTTTATTTTCTTTCCCTTTTTGGTGTATATTTATAAGGTAATTAAATTTTAAAACAGAAATCAAAGTTGCTAAATCAAAGTTAAAACAGTATGATACCCTTTCACCATTAATCTTTTCCAAACTCTGATTTACAAAAATATTTAGCATAGAAGAGGGTTACGTCTAAACATGATGTCTAGCAACAGGATGTAGAAGGATAACCATATCCTCTATCATCAACTATTTCACCTCGTACAAATACATATTGCATAAAGCAAAAAAGAAAAGGTATTTGCTAATTCCTGGATAAATGTGCATGCAATTGAATCCTTTAAAGTAATCACACAATTGTTGCACACAGAAGAATATTCTTCCAATACATTGACAAAGTGCCTCAACCACTTTATTTTGTCTATATCCTGACCACGTACAGCAAAAAAAGAAATGTTCAAACATTGACCAACAAGACCATTTAGGTTTCGAAATTGTTATAAATGAAAAAGCAACAAACTAGAGCTAAACACAAAACTAGCCATGCAGAACTCAAGAAACAAAGACTAATTACACATAATAAACGAATGAGACGAGATATAACAAGGTTTGGTCTTGAGAGATCTGCGTCCATTGGAAACTATGAAAGTTATTCACCATGGAGATCAAGAACATTGGTCACAGATGTGGCAAGTACTCTCTCACCCAAAACCCCTTGGCTTCATTTTACAATATATATTACAACCAATTCCACGCAAAGGTTAAGAGTTGCATAAGCTCTAGCCTTCGGAGAGGCCACTTTGCCCCATGTTCAGACATTTTCAAGACACCTCCATAACATTTAGCAAGGAAGAGTAAAGAAGTTAATGCTTTTTTTTTTAGCTTGAATCATGGGAAAATATATTTTCTTTACATAATCACAAATATACATCAAACGCCATCCTAAACAAGTTATATAGTGATTCAATAAAAAACACAAAAGAACGACAAACAAAGAAAAGTGAGCATGATGGTGATTTGAGACCTTATGACCAACATACTTATTCTAATTATTTAATTCAAAAATTAATGGCAATCATTTTTTTGTGTGTGTGTGGAGATCAAATGCTTATGAAGATGATGAGTTAGTCTAAAGTTGATGGGAGATTCAGTAAAAACAGGAAAAGGTACAAAAAAATGAAAACCAAAAGCAATCACTTAATTTCACCATAAAGCATCTTAAATGCTATCAGGGCCGTCTCAATTAGGTAACAAGTAAAGCACGAGCTTTAGGCCCCTAGTGCAAAGAAGGCCCCAAATTTTGTAACTCTCCTATATGATTTAGACCAAAACTTTGAAACATAAACATTAAGTCATACAAAAAGCCCATAAAAGTTTAAATTAACACAAAAGTTTTAAATTTATCTTGGATAAAAAATCTAACCCATTAGTCTCATTCATTAAAAGAAGGAAAAACTTTCTAATTTTTTTATCAAAACATTCTTTCTTATTCCTTTGCTCTTATTGTCTCACCGAATCTGCCATCTTCTATGCTGCAAGTGTAGTGCTCATGTATTAGAAAACCCACATCTCAAATCTAAAGTATATTAATCACTACTCTTTTACAATTATCTTTCCAAGTATTTTTATAAAATAGAATATTAATCCACTATTCTATCTCAGTTTTAGGTTTTCCTGATAGGTAGTGTTGGGAAAAAAACCAAAATATCATATTTGATGTTACGACATCAATGATAAATTAAGTTTTATTGTTCTATAATTTTAAAACTTATATAATCTTTAATTCCAATATCTTATTATGTTGTTTTGTAAACAACAAGTGATTGATTTGTAATCATTTTGTTGATAGTATGTTTTAAATAAATCAACCAGAAAATAATAATCGAGATATGAAAAACATTAAAAAAAAAAATAGAATATGTCACAATTGGTTCTGCATAAAGAAGCTTTTCAAATTGAAATAAATTAGTCACTAGATTAAGATCGAGTATGTCACAGGAAAGATTAAATATTTAAATAAATTAGTCGTACCATGAATTGAAAAAAAAAAATATAAGAGCAAAACTTGAATTCAAAGACCTAATATATAATTTTGTATATCAAAAAACGAAAAGATTAAAATTTTAATTAAAAATTTTATTAGTATTAAAATTTTTAAAAATGCCTCATTTCAATTTGTTGCTTCAGGCCACAAATAGACTTGAGCCACCTCTGAATACTATCTATGACACACAACCTTGATGTTCACAATGATGATATATGATTTACAGAAGATTAGAGAAAGAAAACAAAGTGAAAATCAACAAAAACCTAGAATGAATACCAATACACAAATTCAAAAGGGCAAATATATAGAAACTCCATTACCCATCATAATATCATCAAATTAAATCCATATCCCGTTCCACTTTAACTCATAAGAACTATAACTATCAATAATGAAAAATAAATAAATACACAATTAAGAAACCCACAAATTTCAAGCAGCACAGAAGCCACAATCCACAGATATATATATATATATAGAGAGAGAGAGAGAGGGAGAGTTGAGTTGACATTGACTCACTATCGGGGCCACCCAGTTGAGTAACAGCATCAACAAATCTCTCATGGAGCTCCGCCGTCCACCGGAGCCGAGGCCTCGGATCCGAAGTCAACATCAAGCACGCATCCCCAGGTAAGTTAGTCCCCTCCAAAGCCCCCGGAAACTCACCACCACCACCACCACCCACCCCACTTACTTCTAGCGGCAGAGAATGAATCGCCGAGTACATTTCCTGAGAAAAAGTATTAAAAAAAAAATCACAACTTTCCAGAGAAAGTGAGGGAAAATGAGAAATATACAAATCTTGGGTATTTGAGAAAGTGGGCAAATGGGGTTTTACCTGCTTTAATAATCAGTGGTGTAGAGTCTACACTGTGCAGTCTGTGGAGTAGTTCGTAGCTTATCTGTTCATGTATTTGGGGGAAGAAAGAGAGTAAAATAAAACATGCATTCGTTTTGTTTGTTTGTCTGTAGAAGAAGAGAGAGAGAGAGACCAAGACAGCGATGTCTTGTTGTGTACTGTCCTTTTTCTTTGTCTAGTCTCTCTCTCTCGGTCTGCTGTTTCTCTGTTCTCTGCATCTGCGTGGCTAATAAGAGGGGACAACGTGTAGTCTGGCTGGCAATTTGAGATTTTACTTTGTTGGCGGACAATGCTATTCTGAGGGCGTCCTCACGCGAATGTATTACCAATCCACGGCTAATTTATAACTTAAATACCAATCTACCATTATTTTAAACTTATTTACTAAACTATATCACTATTTAAAGTGGAAACAACAATTCTGATTCTTTTAAAAGCGAAATTAGAAAATCCGACTTTATGCGGTAAAGCAAAATAAAGACATACATTTTTACTATTAAGGCGTATTTTTCAAATCTGCTTATACTTGAATAATTGTACTATTAAAATTGGTTTATAAGATGGAAAACGTATTTGATAAGTCCGTTTTATCAAATGAAACGAATATAATGAATCCTCTTTCATTTGAATAATCAACCTCCCAACCAAGTCCACTTTCTGTTATTCCACGAGTTCGCGTCACTTTCCTCTCTTCTCTCTGTAGAAGCTCAAACATTCCTTTCTCTTCAACTTGCAACTGATTCCTCCTATTTCTTCTATTATTGTGTATGATTTCGTCATTTCCTAAGCTCAGCTCTTAAAATGTACACACCCTACTAAGCAAATCCAAGCGTAGCCCTAGCTTGTTCGAAAAAGACAACTGAGGTCTTCTGCAAGATTCGGCTGTGAGATTCAATTGAGGTGTGAGATTCGCCTCTGAGATTCCCTTCTAAGCTCTAGCTTAGTTAGTGTTTTGTCAAATGAAGCAATAGACTAATACACACCCGTGGGCTAAGTCTGAAGCAAGGAGAAGATAGGGAGGGATTCATGTATTAACACAAAGCGTCTATTTAACCAGATACGCTACATTGAGTCTCTAATTCAGAAAAAAAAAAACTCATGTTTAGAAAAATTTCTCCATTGCCCAACCCCCATGAATGTTGAATTCAGAAATCCCCAAGTGTAACTGCCAAATTTCAATCCTCATTGCCCAATTATTGTGTGATTCTAAAAATTCTCAATTTTTTTCAATTTTCAATCCCCATTACTGCTTGAAGTAGTTTGAATTGCATCTTGAATTCAGAAATTTACTATGTGAAGATATAATTTTATTAAGAAATTTAATTTCAACTGCATCCATGCAATATATATTGTATGCTGTTGAGTTCACCAATGCTATTATATGTTGAATTCACCCACTACTGTTGTTGTTTTTTTTTGGCGTTTTTGAGTACTTATTGTTTTATACATTCTGTGTCATGTTCAAGTTTAGGGTTGGTAACCTGATTTCTTTGATATTATTGCATATTTTTGATCAATCTATTAGCAGTTGTCTTATACATTCTGTGGCATGCTCAAGTTTGGGGTTGGTAACCTTAGCATTATTGTATTGATCTCTTGCTATTTTTATAGAATTTTCAATAAAAATAAAATGTGATCAAGAATGTATCTAATAACAAATTTACAATCCACTTGTCGTTGTTATAACAGAATTGGTATGACAGAAACTATGTTAGTGTATTTGGTGTAAATGCAATTATTATAGGCTTGATGGTTATGTAGCTACATTAGTGTTAGTGGTGACTGGTTGTCTATTACACCCCCTGCAAACTGATGGAAGAAGGTCCAACCAACAGTTTGGTACTAAGCAAAAGAAAATGTTGAGATGAGAGAGCCTTTGTAAATTGGATCACCCAAAAAGGGGATATAAGCAGTAGTGGACTTTTTGTCAACTGGATCACCTAGCCAGTCTGCATTCAAGGGCGGAGGCATGGTTAAGGCTCTATGGGCAGTTGCCCCTATTGACTTTTGAATAAAACTTACATATGTTGACTTAGAAAGATTATAACCACGTTAAAATTAATACATTGCCCCCTTAATTATTTTTAAAAATTCTATAGTAATGTAGTTCTTTTTCCTAATAAATTATCCATCATCTCCTAACCCATGAAAATAAATGTTTTACATTTGTATTGAATAAAATACATGTCAAATATCTTGATTTATACATTGACCAAAGACTATAATTCTCTTCTATTTAATATATTATCCTTACTTTTTGCTGCACAATTATATAGTTAACATAGTCTAGTAAAGTACAGTTAAATGCAACTGGTATATGGTCTTAACCCAAAAATATCTTTTATGGTTTCACATAATTAACTCAATATGAAAAAAAAATAATCTCAACTAAACTTACATACAAAATGAATGATGATTTTATCGCAGACTATTTGATTTTGTGTATTGAAAAAATATTGTGAAGAAATTTAGGATACAGTCAATCAAAATATAAGCAACTTTTGAGAATTAAAGAACATCACATTCCACTATAATGTCATTCAGTCTTTGATTTGTAATATTTTGCCCCCACTGACCAACAATCCTAACTCCGCCCCTGCATCAGTAAAGGGCAGATTATCATCAACATACATGAGTAAAATGGTGAGAGACTTGCCCACTAATCTAACAAATAAGGCGGGATTAGCTTAAGAGCTTTGAAAATTAAAAGTTGAGAGATGAGAAGTAAACCTCTCAAACCAAGCCCTAGGAGCTTGTTTTAGATCATAAATGGACTAGTTCAATTTGCAAACATAATGTAGAAAGGAAGGGTCTACAAAAACCAGGTGTCAAAGATTCTCATTTAAAATTTGCATTCCTCTCCCAAATTAGAGAAAAAATAGGCATAAAGCATGACTTCATTCAACCAACAACCCCCCTATGAGGAGAACTATATATATGTTAATAGGTTTAAAAGTAAAATATGTCATGCTATCCAAGGCAGTAATTGAAATATGAAAATTATTCGATATTATATTTTATATTGAAGGTATAAAATGTTGAGGAGACGCGCCACAATAATGTGTTATTGGAGAGGTAATATTATGTACAACAAAGTTTGTTTTATTGTATAATGGAAACCTAAACATTGCATAAAGTTAAAACATGGAACAACATATGAGAAATTGTTGAGAAAGTTGTACGCGATAATACAGTTGGACAGGGCAATATCACTTCTACAACTAATTTATTAGTTTCCAACATTTTTAGGGGATCACATGCAACAGTACGTGGAATTTAAAATTAAAAATAATGACGGTATGGCGGCGATGGTAGATGCTGTATTTGAGAATCAAACACTGAATAGTATTGACTTGTACATACATGCAGAGCTCATCCAATAGTTTCCTTAGTCAATGGGGAATGAGTATGACCCATATATCGAATTGCTTACACAGAAAAGCATCAATCGGTTATCTTGTTCGCATGCGCTTGTTAACTCTTATTAAGTTGAAGGGAGTAGTCAACTTGCGCACGACTTTATGGCAAACAATACTTTTGCAACAAATTTTAATTCAAGCCATGGAATTCTACAGACTGAGCCTTATGTGCCATAATTGAATATAGGGCCTAGTACGCAGACATTGATGTATTTGGGATACATCACATCTTCTTCCAATGTTGGTATCCAATGTTATCCTCAAACAAGGACAAAGTCATTCAAAAATTGGTTCAGTTAGTCGTTGATTTGTTGACAACCAATGGAATGTGTGCGGTTGATCGTGCAAAAGACACAAATGATGAGGGCAAGGATATTACATTGATGGACGATGTGGAAAACATTAATGATGGCGGTGACGAAGATGGCCCATCAATTATACTGCAAGACACTATTTGTATGCATGAGTCATCGTCCACCTTTTTCACCAATGATGAATTTTTTCAACTGTCTGTCCCATCAATCAAACAAGAGCTTCATTGTGGGATCCTGATCAACATGAGTTATCCATCGACCTAATCTTTAAGGATAAATCGAAATTGCAAGATGTAGTAAAAATTTATTCAATCAACAATTATGTCCAATTCGAGGTTGTTGAGAGTGAAAAAAAATTACTGGTTGTGCGGTGTAAAAAATACCATTCCAGGTGCAAGTGAAGGCTTCGAGCTATTCAAAAGAAAGCCCACACAATTGTCTTCATGTGTCAGCCACTCAGGACCATGTGCAATTAAATTTCTAATTCGTCGCACGCCGAATTAAAGATCTTGTCAGGACAGATCCATCTATTAAGGTTGTTATGATAATAAAACACATTGTCACTGTATATAAATACAATATATCATATCAAAAAACATGAAAAGCAAAACAAATTGCGCTAGCAATGATTTTTTGTGATTGGGATGAATCATATTCTATTTTTTCAAAATTCCTTATTGCATTGCAAAAGTATAATCAGGGCACAATAGTCAGATGACAGGTGGCTGACCTTAGAAATGGGATGGTTGTATTTGACAAAGTCTTTTGGGTATTTAAACCGTGTATTAACGGTTTTTAACACTGTTGTCCACTTATAAGTATCGATGTCACATTCTTGTACAGGAAGTACAAGGGAAGTTATTAATTGCTACGGGCCTCGATAAAAATCATCAAATTTTTCCTCTCGCCTTTGCAATCGCCGATGAGAAAAACATAGATACATGGAGTTGGTTTCTTTGGAGACTAAGACACGATGTTGTCGGTGACTGTCCAGGCAGATGTCTGTTATTTGACTGCCGTCAAGGCATAATTCAATTAATGGCTGCTCATGGTTCTGGAAGGCAAGCACCGTATGCATACCATCAATATTGCTTATGACATATCTGCGGTAACTTCAACAGTAAGTTTCATAACTCTCATTTTAAACGTCTAGTATGGGATGCTGGTACTGCACATCAAATCCGCACGTATGACAAGATTATAGCAGAAATCAAAGAACTCAACCCATTCATTGTTCGTTGGCTTGATCAAATACCAAAAGAGATGTGGGCACTTGCACATGACAGTGGAAGACGTTATGGAGTAATGACAACCAATATTTCTGAGGTGTTCAACTTTATCTTGAAAAAAATAAGACATTTACCGATCACATCATATGTTGAACCAATATTTTATAACGTTGTTCAGTATTTCAATGACATGCATGGTTCGGCCTCAGATAGTGGGTGCGCTTTCACACCTTATGCTGTGGAGAAGATGACGTATGTTTCAATCAAAAAAGCCAGTCAAAATGTTACCACATTCAGCCGTACCACCTGTGAGGCATATGTGGTCACCAAAAAAAGGTAATGCACAGGTACTAAATATTTTAGACCACACATGTTCATGTGGAAAGTGGAACACTTATAAAATGTCATGTTCTCATGCGATGGTACTTTTTTCAAAGAGGTATTTAGACCCGTGGCAGTACGTTGATAAGATATACACAGTTGCTGCCCATGATGCCGTTTGATCCAATAAATTTCATCCACTACATCATGGTAATTATTGGGATACGATCACTAGGCCAATAATTTGTCCTAATTCGAATCAACTACGGACGAAGGATCATCCCCAATAAACTCGCATCTGAAATTAAATGGACCTACAACAGGGTCGTAGTACGTATCAATGAAGATTGTGTGGTGAACCAAGGCACGATCGACGCACATGCCTATCAAAAACAACAGAAGATGTGCGTAGGGGTCAGTGATTAGTGAATGTGGTTGCTATTGTAATGTGAGGTTGTAATAAATAAAATCTGTTCATCTTAATAACTATGTTTTCAGTATATAATGATGAAAAAGTTGTAATTATGTTTCTGTCAATTACATCAATCATCGTTATATTCTACATGTATTCACATTTTGTACTTGTTGTAAATACGTAATTAAACTGATCTATGTCGACATCTGGAGGACCAATAGTTGCGAACAATCGCAGACAACAAAAGGGTTGACATTTGATAGAGCAAAACGATGATTACAAATTTGAGAAATTTACAGACTCAAAAGAGTATTATACTGGACTAAGACGAGAATAGGCGTTTCATGCTAATGAATCAAACGATTAACGCGGAAGAGGCAGAGACGGACATAGTATTCCAGTCAACGATTTGGTGTCACAAGTGATCGAGGGCGAGCCATCACAGTTAGAGGAACGACGTCCAAAACGACTTAAGAAGAAGCCGTGTTGTGGCACTTAGTGTTATCTTGTTTTATAATTTTTTGTTATTTTTTTTTTCACATGTATATTATAGCTCCACTTGCCATGTAATGTTGTTGGTTTTGTGGTGGGTTATTTGTGGTGTTGTTGATGTTTTGCTATTGTAAATACAAGTCCAAAAAATTTTTGGTATGACAGATATTTAAGGGAAACTCTAGCAAAAATTTTTAAAATTCTATGGGTAAGATATATTGTATATGTATTTTATGGTATATGTATTTTTTATATATTGTATGCATTGTTATGATTAGTGTTCTCCACATCAATGGATAAGATAACAAAAGACAACAAACGGTACATTATATTTTAGCACGACATAATGACAATATAGATAAACTACAACAACATAGTAGTACAAACATATAAGCATGATTATAACAAATGACATACATTATTACACACTTGAAGGATAAACCAACATATGCGTAAATGTTTATTGATCAAAAAATCTTCATCATGGGAAACTTTCTTCGTCTGATATTTCTACGTCAAAGACACATCCTGTTTCCGTAGACAACTGTAAGCACAAACGTGTTTTTTCAACCAAACCTTCTGCAACACGGGCAATTGCAATTTGGCGGAAGTTGTACTGAGTTTGCCGTATTGCCATACGGTTGTTTTTAACTCGAATATGCCACAATGCACTTTTCAACCATTGTGGTGTTTCAATAGACATATTTATGGCAATTTGTCACGGCCTACGTATGTTACAAATGCGTAAATCTTCGCTTAGAACTTCTCTCTCATTCAAACGATATTGTTGTTCCTCCCTCATTCTATTCATTGACCTCTGTGACAAACATAAAAAAGAATTTAGAGGATAGAAGAATTCATCCTCTAACGCCCAATAATAACTCATAGTTTCAAATATCGAGCGTGGACTATAACTCATGTTTGCAGTTAGTAAGTATGGTAAACGAGCAACACACCTCATGAATTTATAGTGATATTGTGAAGGTACTTGTGGTCACTGCTTATCCAACTGTGGATAAAATATTTTATAATATGATGATTTGACTAATTATGCAACACCTCTGATTTGTCTCATCACTGAACAATGCACATCACTATCAGTGTTAAGTCGTCAGTCGTGATTTAACACAACACTGCTACTACGTTGGTATTAGTGTTATGTCATTAGATAAACACTTTATCAGCATCTAGTCTCTATCACTATTCACTCCTCAATGTATCTACATTGCTAGTACGTTGTCATCGCGGTCATCACTATCAGTGTAACAAAACACTGCTAACACATCACGATCAGTGTAAATCGTCGGTGGTGATTTAACACAACACTCCTACTACTTTAGTATCAGTGTTATGTCAACAGCGTCTGATAACATTAACGCTTTATCAATGTCTAATCTCTATCACTATTAACTCATCACTGTATCTTCACTGTAATATGTTATTATTCAATTCAATGCATGTAATATTAAAATTAGTAACGTTCCTATTTATATACAGATACTTACCTGCATTGTAAACCCAACATACAATATAATGTCACCAGCATCAACAAATGGGTCTTCAAGCCAAACAAACGATGACTCCTTCCCAACCAACCACATGCCTCATGAAATATTTTCTTCATTCAGTTTACCAGAACTCGGTAACTACATAGATCCCAAATGGAGTAACATGATATGAAAAATTACGCTCATTTAAGAATGAGTCAATCAACATTCATAACCCTTTCACCGAAGTCGACCATGTGATGATTTAGCCTGTTATCTTTGAAATATTATTTCAAGCGCTATGAGCTTGAAGTATGTTGTCGTTGGCATGAATTACGAGTGCCACAAGCACATTCAGCTGAAATGTATGTGAAATGGTGCACGGATAACTACCATGATATCATTGCAATACTAGCTCTTGAGAATGATTAGATGGAACAACGGCTAAATTGATTTCACCTTATTACAAAGGCAAATATTGAATATTCAGACCCTGTAGAGCCTATTAATGCAATACTTTCTGATCCATCCTTGGCTTCTGACAATGAACTTTCTGATTTTGAAGAATCAAGTGACGATGATCATTATGAAAAATTTCTCCCTGCTACTCTTTGCTTACATGGGACACCACTATGTTATTGGAAATCTACTCGTCATTAGAAATATTATGACTAATATATTTGTATTATGTAGTGTAAAATAAAAATGTATAGTTCTATTTTTAGCAAAAGACATAAAGTCTCTTCATTTTGATTGTTTTTTTGTAATGTTTTTATCACAAAAGAAATAAATTCTCTTGGTATTCTCCAATAGGTTTGGGGGGTACGATTAGTATTCTCCAATTCGATAATAATATTTTCATCAGGTAGGTTTTTTAATGTTTAGGGTTTTTATTTTTTTATTGTTATCATCTTGTTTAGAAGTAGGATAACTTTACAATACCGTAATTTAATTTTATAATATGGTAAAAATAAATTTTCAACACATTCATAAAGTGTCATAGAGGGGGTAGTTAAGTTATTAATTTTGTAATGCTTGCTTGGGCTCGAAAGTGTATGAAAGGGCAGCACTTTGAAACCATATTTGACAAATATGCTTTCATTATAAAGCGTTTCCAACAGGTCCGTTTTTTAATGAAGGCGTGTTCAACACATCCGCCTTATAATGAAAGTAGATTCAACACATTCACTTTCATTGAAATGTTTTCAGTTTAAAAGCGGATTTGAAAAATACGCCTTAATAGTAAAAGCGCATGTTTTGATTCTACTTTACCGCATAAAGTCGGAATTGCTAATTCCGCTTTTAAAAGAAATCAAAATTGTTGTTTTCGCTTTTAAAACAGTCATAATTTGCTAAATAAGTTCAAAACAACGGTAGATTGGTATTTAAGTTATAAAGTAATAGATTTGTCCTCATGCAATCACCATGAGTATATTTTAAACGAGTTGACATGATTCGAACACAAATTTGACCTAAGTCATTGTAGACTCGTTTAACCCGTTTATGGCAGTATAATTTACTTATTATGTATGACTGAAGTAATCTTAACATTATTATTTATTAATTTTTAATTTTATTATGATAATTAACAATATAGTTCTTAACATTATTATAACAGTATACTAGTATAATTCTTGCTATAATTTTTGGATTGAAACTTAAATGTATTTTAATTAATTTCATTGATGAGACGTAATATGTTATTTGTAAAAAAAATCATTTAAAATTTTAAATAAAAGATTAATGATGTATTAAATGGTAATGAACTGGTGTGAAAATAAATTATGTGTTAAACGAATTTATATTATGTGTGTTAAACAAATTAAACGGATCATGTTATGTATGTTAACCTGAAAACAACCTATTTAATAAACATATCAAACAAGTCAGATTAGTATTTACACATCTCGACACGATTAATAAATATGTCAAGTTTAAATTTTGAAATTTTCGACACAAACTCCCGATACAAAATGACTCAACCAGACATGTTTGACACTTCTAACCCAGTACAACACCAAGGTTAAGGGAAAATGGGCTCAAAGATGCAGAGAGAAGTAAAGGGATAGAACAATATCATCAAATAGCATAAGACGTTTAACTGGGAAAATAAAGTCATGTCACAATATAGCAAAATCTCTGCTCAAATGTCACAAGCAGCAAAGAGAAACATCACTCAAAGAAGACAAAGTCTCTAAAAACTGGAACATAATTTCCCAACAAATGGTCACCTAAGAAACTATACTTTCCATTTTAGTACTTGATTGGAGCAATAATCTCAAGCTGGGGACCAAGCTTCTCCTCAGCAGCCTTCTCGGCCTTGACTCTTAATTTCGTCAACTGCTTCTTCCTCTCATATGCCACCTGTGCTCTCTCCTTCCTCTTCTTTTCAAGCTCCTGCATAAAAGCAAAGTGACAACAAGTGAGCAATATCTTCAGGTAGGCATGCTATTCACAAAGGAACACATGGACTAACAAAGAATGTAAGTTGAAATATATTTCAAAATCAGTGTTAGAAGCTTGAAAATAATGTTATTCATCACATCCAGAGACCACAAAGAAAAAGTTTAGAAACCAGCATAATTTGTTAAATTGCAACCAAAAAGCTTTTAAAAGACGTTACTAAGCTGCATGGGCGGCAGTAAAAGATGGTGGTAACAGCAAAGTGGCCACAGTATGGTGTCAAATGGAATTCTGGACAGATTGTGGTGCAATTGGCAAAGATAACAAGAATGGATTGGCACTGCTGCAATGAGAATTAGACAACTGCAGTATTAGCAAATAAATATATGTTCAGCCAATAAGCACACCCGAATAGTCCTTCATATAAAATGAGGGCTAATACTGAGTGGTTTTTGTTACCCAATTATTTTAAAACAGCATGAGAATACTAAGACCTACCACAGAACGAAATAAACCCGCAGCATACAATCATGCTGCTAAGTAAAAAAAAACAATAGAAAAATATTTAATGCTTAAATAATATCAATCAAAATTAGGTATAAAGAGATTCGTTTTTATTAGCCACTAAAAGAGCACACAAAAAATCTATGAACATTCAAATATACAGAGTCAAAATCAATTGAAATGGTAAAAGAGTAGTAAGTATAAGAATAAACTGAAGAACCAACGAAAAAAGGAACTCTCACACAGTAACAGTTACAGCAAACCAAGATCACAAAATGTAAGCAGTACAACTATTTCATCTATGATCTATTCAAACCAAAAAAGGATACAACTAAGCCTATTTATAAAAGTTTTCTACATCACAATTACATGAGTGAAAACTGGAAAGAAGCTCCAAAGCACCATTCACATGAATACAACAAATCAAAGGGAATTATATTGGCAAACTAAATCATAGCACACACAAATAGACACCATAATCTCACCCTGATAGTATCATAATGGTTCCATCCAACCTCTGATGAAAGCCTGCCCAACAAACAGTACTTATGTCCTGCTTGAAGCCTCAGTACCCTGATTTTTAAAGAAACCACAATTAAAAGATATTGATGTGAAACACATAATGAACAAAGTATTGATGTGGCTACCCAATAACAAAACTCACTTGAGAGCATCAGGGATGACCATCCTCTTCATCTTATCATATGGTGGTGGGACACCCTCTAATACCTTCAAACGAGCAAGAGCAGCAGCTCCTCGCTTAGTCTTATGGGGAATCATCCTACAATATATTCCCAAATGGCATCAAACATAACCCAACACATTTAACCTAAATAAAGACATAACCCCATATACCAATATCAACAAATAATGAAATATAAATGTAGTTGAAACAAAAAGGATCTCTACAGCTTTACTATTCCCAGGAAACAAGAAAAATAATCAAAATCAAGACGAAGTATAAAAATAGTCTTTGAAAGAACATACAGAAAGGATTCCTAATACCACAACAATTTTATTGAACTGAAATAAACATAAAGCTCAGGTTAACTCAAAAATAAACAACATAAAATAGGGGTGTATTGATGATCTTTTCCTATCCACAACCAAAAGTTTCTGATCCAAGCAAAATCTATCAATCCATTTCTACTTGTATAATCTATCTAGACCAATTATACTAGCATATAGCATTAATTAATATAAAAGTAATACACAGAATCCATATACACGGACCATGATATCAAACGGGTGTTCACCCCTCAACATATCCACAGTAACTATATGCACAACACAGTTTCATACATGCATAAATCATCTATACCGGCCATACCAACAATGGTACCTACCAATGTAGACAAACAAACATAGTTTCATTCATAATGTAGTGACAAATGGATTTATATTTCAAGAAATGTAATTAATTCATACAGACCGATGCAGCATATGCTTATTTGTCTATCAAACAATAGATGCATATCTACATTCCTCTATCAACGAGAAAATATTGAATGCAACGGTGACACCTTTACCCTATTTAATTAACTACCATGTCCATGTAGGAAAATAACTACCATGTGTAAGAGAGTTGGGTTCACTTGGCCTTGTAGGTTTGTTTACACCCAATATTCCCTATCAACCCATACATCAGAAAATCCATCCCAACAGACGAATACCCATACCGACAAAAAAATCAGTAAATAGGTATTCGCCTATCAACCCACACATACAAAAATCCATCTCTACAGACCAAATCAACGAAAAAGTACTTATCTAACAATTCAAACATAAGTAATTCAATAGATATACATACCCACGGATGGTGCGCCAAAGGATCTTGGAAGGAGCACGGAAGTGAATGGGGCCATGAGAAGGCTTGGTGTTCATCCGCTTGCGAAGGAACCTGAGGTACTTCATCTTCTGACGGACGAGTCCACCAGAGAGACATATCTCCTCACACCTTACCACCACTACTTTCTGCCCATTCAAGAGCTCCTTGGCCAATATGGAGGCCAGCCTTCCCAGCATGTGATGCCTCGCATCTACCACCACCCTCTTTGCGCAGATCCCTGACCCAGACACCATCTTTGCCTTCTCTCTCTAGACTCTCTCTCACAAACACACAATCTCGGCTCTCTTAAGGGCTGCTGCTGGAAATGGAGGAGTAGCTAGGGTTTTGGAGAGTAGGCATATATGGGCTTTGTCGAGGCCTCTACCGAGTTTAAGATGGCAATTACCCAATTATTCACTTTGGGTATGGGCCCAGACAAAAACCTAACAGGAGGCCCAGAACTCTTCTCTTATCTGAGTTACCTAGGGTAAATTATAAAAAGGTACACCAAATTAGACTTATTTGATAAAAAATAAAAACTAAAAAGTATAGGGTTATTAAATAGTTAATTTTGATACTTATTTGTATCCAAGTACATAATTTGAATTTTTTTATTTTTATTGTGATATTTTTGCCCTCCATTAATCCATGTGTATTTAATGCACCACTTTTCTTTAGAAAGTGGTGCATTAAACATCTCTTAGTTTTATGGGAGAACTTTAATATATATATATATATATATACTTATGTATGGATGTATATACTTGTTGTTAAATCTGTTATCTAAATTTTGAATTATCTTTTAATGCACCTTGATTGATGCATTTTTTTTTTAGAAAATAATTTTATTTTCAAATTAATTTAATATCCGAATAGTGTAATAATAATAGTGTAACAAGTTATTTACACAAAATATTATACTATTACATTTTGTCAAACATATAGTTCCATATAATTTCATTCAAAATAGTCTATCTCCGTTTTTAATTGTTATCATATATACAAAACTACTGAACACTTTTTTTGTTACAGTGTTTTTATTACATTGTTATTACTATATTATTACATTATTCGGATATTAAATTAATTTAAAAATAAAACTATTTTCCCAAAAAAAAAAAAACGCTTGAATCAAGGTGCATTAAATATAATTTGAAAATAAAATCACTTTTAATAAAAAATACGCATGATTCAAGGTGCATTAAAGATAATTCAAAATTTAAATAAGAGATTTAACAATATGAATATGTACATATACGTATGTATATATATATATATATATATTAACAAATACACATGACTTAAAGTGCATTAAATACGTATTTATATGTATTAACAAACACACATAAATCAAAGTGCATTAAAGATAAAAGATTTTGAATTAAATGACTCTAATATGAACATATATGTCTTTTTAACTCACATTTTATTGTATGTACTTTTTGTCAAATAAGTCTAATTAGATGTACCGACATCCAAAAAACCCTTATTTATAATTGATTAAAATTAGATTCATATTGCGTCAGATTCATTTGATCATTTATTAGTGGAAGCTCTATGCGATGCATGGAATTTGCACAGATCTCCGTCCCTCCAGATTCTCTTTCCCTTTCTTTTTGTCATTATACCATTTAAAAAGATGGATAGAAAAATTATAAAAAAATTAGGGTAATAAAATAATTATAAAAAGCTAGGATGGTAAAAATATATTTCTAAAAAAATTAAATTAGTGCCTCACTTAAAAAAAAAAATTAAATGAATGGTAGTTAGTAGGGGTTAGAGATATTTACATGAGACATGTGTTAGAATATAATTTGTTAAAATAATAATTTAAATAATTAAAAATTTAAAAAAAAAAAAGTGGGAAGAAAGACTTCTCAAGTCATTTTCAACCTATTTATTTATATACATATAATATAGATAAAATGTGTATAACTAAGTCTCATATAAATATTGGGGTTAATTTCATTTTGCACTCTGAAAGATCGTTCGAATCTCAATTTACACTCCCGAATATCAAAAATCTCAATTTTTACCCTCAAAGATAGAAATTTGTATCAATGTACACCCCCAAAAATAAAAAATCTCAATTTGCACCCTCAAAGATAGAAATCTGTATCAATGTGCACCTAAAACTAAATTGATAAATTATACCTAGATCCCCTCATATTTGTCACTTAATCATTTGAACCCCTTCACATTTAGAATATTACTCCTACATCTCATGACGTTTGTACATGTGTAAATATAACCACTTTTCGTTGATATCTATTAATATAATTGTTAAAAAATATGATTTTATCCTAATAAAAAATTATAATTTCATATTACCCTTTATTTTGTAGATTCGATATACTCTAAAGTTCAAAATCGAGCTTACCATTTGAATGTCTAATAAAATGTAGATATTTATATAAAGGAAAATATGAAAAACATTATATAAATATCTACATTTTATTAGACATTCAAACGGTAAACTTGATTTTGAACTTTAGAGTATATTAGACCCATAAAATAAAGGTAATATGAAATTATAATTTTTTATTAGGATAAAATTATATTTTTTAACGGTTATATTAACAGATTTTAATGAAAATGGGTTACATGTTGTACGTGCATAAATGTCATGAGATGTAAGAGTAATATTCTAAATGTAAAGAGGTCCAAATGATTAAGTGACAAACATGAGGGAATCTAGGTATAAATTATCAATTTAATTTTAGGTGCTTAATGATACAAATTTCTATATTTGAGAATGCAAATTAAGATTTTTTTATCTTTGGGGCGCACATTGATATAAATTTCTATCTTTGAGGGTACAAATTGAGATTTTTGATCTTTGGGGGTGCACATTGATACAAATTTTTATCTTTGAAGGTGCAAATTGAAATTTTTGATTTTTGGGGGTACAAATTGAGATTCAAACGATCTTTTGGGATGTAAAATGAGATTAACCCTAAATATTGTGTAAACCATTTTTAGAGATTTTGTATCGATCTATTTATTTAATTGGTCAAATATATTTATCTATTTTCTCCAAAATTAACTAAATTTAATTTCAAATTCGCTGACTTTGTATTGAATTAACGTTAAATTCACGAATCGTAACTAATTGAGATTCGAACGATCTTTTAAGGTGTAAAATGAGATTAACCCTAAATATTGTGTAAACCATTTTTAGAGATTTTGTATCGATCTATTTATTTAATTGGTCAAATATATTTATCTATTTTCTCCAAAATTAACTAAATTTAATTTCAAATTCGCTGACTTTGTATTGAATTAACGTTAAATTCACGAATCGTAACTAAAATTATCAACAAAAACACGGAGAGGCCACACACGAGGCAAAGACATTTCGTTGACTCTCATCTGGCTTAACTCCTATGCACTTGGATTCAAATTCGCTCAAATGCAATTTTGATAAATTTCAATCATCCATTATAAATTTATTGGGTTATATTAATGGTTTATGAGTCCCATTGAATCTTCGTTAAATTGATTAAAAACACACCTAGGAATGATGGTACGTTGACCTTCTCACCTCAAATATTGTCCAATTCATAATAATTCCAATTAGGGATGTATACAACTCGTTAATGTAAATATGAAGTTTGTGGATTTGAACTTTTTTAAGTTATTGTTTTGTAAACAAGTGTATTTCAACATAACACAATTAATAAACAGGTCAAGTATGAATAAAGTCAATAAAAAAAATACACGACTCGTTTATATATCAATTAAACACGATTGACATACAATACGAACTTGATATGACACAAATTAATAAATGAATCAAACATGAGTGAAATACCTTTTAGCACGAGTATATGAACACCTAATTCGAATCCACTTCACCCGACACGATTCACATGTGTAATTGTAACCAACATCATTGAAAATCATGTCCACATAGCTGCCTAGCTCGTCTCAACAAATCCTTTAAATTCAAAGGAATTAGTTAAGACACTTTCTGCTCCAAAAATCGTTCGCTCACAAGTAGAACAAAGAGTGATAAGAGTAACCACTGTGGGGATGGCTCAATGGGTACCGGTTGAATTTCTTACTTTAAGGTTTGAGATTTGAATTTTAGGGTTCATATTGGGGGTTAATGGTTGACTACTATGATAGCCTAGTTAAATTTGTTTTTGATAGGAGTAACAGCAACGGGTACAACTAGAAACCTCATAATCCCTCCAATAAAAATCTATCAGAGTGATAGTCACTAGAGCAATAATTGAACACGGCAGAGATCCCAATGTCATGGCTACTTTAGGTCAATTTTAATATCTCAAAAGTTACCCATCTCTCGATCTTTATTATTTTTTTTTTGATCAATCAAAACAGCAAAAACCATATCATTAAGTAGGAAAGTTGAAATTACAATCAGTCAAAAGAAAAGCCTTAAACTCTGGAGGGGAGGAGCCTATCCAATTTAGCGGAATTGAATTGTGTAACACAACGGTTGCTACCCAATGAGCAACCTTATTACAGGCTCTAGACTTATGTAGAAAACTAAGGTCGTATAACTTAACATTATGTCGAATATATTCAATAATAACACTAATTATCCACGGAAAAACATCCTCATTGGGGCTTTGTTTGATGTGTTAAGGCAGTCATTCATGATTATGACGTTTGTCATCAAATGCGCTTCAGCAAAAAGGCATGCTTGACGCACTGCCTCTGCTTCAGAGAATATGCCAGACACAGCTGGGAAGGATTTTGCAGCACCATTCTCAAGCTCTCCCCTTTTGTTGCATACCACCACCCCACATGCAACCTTTGAGAAATTTGGCTTGTAAGCTCCATCACAGAAAATAAGGATCCCAGACTCTGCCTCTTGTGATCTTTCCTCCCTAGCCACTGGTTCCTTTAGTCCCATCTCTCGATCTTTCACTCTATGTAAATAGGTCTATACACACAAATATCTTGAAACTTGGAGTTCGAATCCAAAACTAAAGGAAAAGTGAAGGGTCATGTGCGTCAATTACGAAGGATAGGGATATGGCCTTACTTTTGATAGATAAAGCATATTTGATTGATTTTTGATATCTCAATACACATGACCAGTTCTTTTTGTTCACAGTCATAACAATTTCATGTTTTGAGCATTGTAGATCTTTCTCATATTGATCTTGGTTACTATTTATGATCATCTCATTGAGAGCCAAATAATTTAGTAATTGATATAATTTTATAATAAAGTAGTTTACTATTCAAATCTCAAAAGATAAACAAAATGATTTTTGTTATTCGCAGTTGAAATCATTTTAAATTTTACTTTAAAGTTAATCTAACGGCTAATATTAATACCATAAAGTTAATAGGAATAATAAGACTTTAAGGGCGTGTTTGAAGTGACTTTTTTAAAGTACTTTTAGAAATTATTTTTATAAATACTTTAAAAAAAAATAGTGTTTGAAACTGCTCCACCACTACCTCTACCACACCGCTGCCACCGCCACTATCGCTATCGCTGTCACCATTGCCGCCGCCCTCGCCCCCACCATTGCCGTCGCCCTCGCCCCCACCATCGCCGCCTACCGTCTCCTACTACCACCTCTCACCCCCATTACAAAATAATGTTTAAATTCATTTATCTCTTCTTTATATTTGTAATTTAATTTTGGATATGAATACATATATATTTATTATTTATCATTTTTTATTATTTTGTGTCTTCGGGCACAAGTAATAACTATAATTTTATACATTCGCTTAAATCCTATTTTTAAGCAAGAATGCCTATAATTTCAACATTTTTCTAAAAGTTACATAAAACAGAAGTTCTACAATGATAAATTTTGAAGTGATTCATTCCCTATCAAACATCAACTTCAATATATTTTAGTTTTACCACATATGCTATGATTAAACAATGAAATTACAAAAACAAATCCATAACTATAATTCAAAGTGATTCATATGCAACGCACATGTACATTAACTAGTACTAAAAAATGCTAAAACAATGAAAAAAATACTTAAAAAATGGTTACAAAAAAGATTCCGAATTATGCAAAGAATATAAAAGCTTAAATGACTGAAACCTTCAAAAATTGAAATGAAGATTATCGTAACATCTATTTTCCGTTTACAATTGTTAAGATATTAGAATTACAACAGGAATAAAAAAAACCAATTATGCAGTGTATTCAAATGGCTGCGGTGGCGGAGGCTCCTCGTCAACAGCCATGGCCGAGGCTGAGCCCTGTTGTCCCGCAGCTGATCCACTGGTAGCTGATGCTGTTGATGAGGGTGCGTCGGTCAAAGACAACACTTCTGGTTCAGTAGGACGAAGGTCTTTCAAAAGAACAAACCCCGAAGATGCCAAGTTTACCGGGATGTATCTACTGTCCTCCAGAAATTTAATGAATTTCTCCTGAGCAGGAACCACCCTGGCGGGGTTAGTCAAAATCTCAAAAGATGGCTCGGGTTCTGCCTTCTTTTCCACAGGACTATCAACCTGCCCAAAAATGGGAGTAAGTGAGATTTCGACAGTGGATCTAAAGCGAAGGGCAACAGGATGGCACAATGATAAGAAATTATATTGCGATAATTCTTTCCCAAAGCCACAAGGAAGCATGTTGACCAACATTGCCTGATGGTATCGACATCTATCCAAGGATAAAAGCAAAATATATAGCAATATAATATAAAAATGGCATAATAGATTCTCTCCCTGTGGTTTGATCCAGTAGCAATTTACTTCCCCATATTTTAAAAATAGGCATCATCCCATGGTTTGCGATCAAATTATGGATTACCTCTCTGTGTTCGCACTTTGATCCCAAATCAAAAGGAGTTAATATATGGAGATAAAGTGTCTCTGGATCAAACCATGTAAAGTTAAAGTATAATTTTACCCTTAAAAAACCCCAGGATATCAAAAACAACATAGCTAAGCTACTACTTCAGCAACCAAGAAAAATTAACATGATACAAAGAATAAGAGACAGAGATATAGGCCCCCAAATTTGCCAAGAATGCAAAATAATGAATATAGGTGTTATTGCAGTAGAAAAGAGAGCAGTAAAAGATATTTACCTGCATAGAGTCACCATTCTTATCATCTGATGATTTCCCTTTTCCAGAATTCGAACCAACAGCAGATGACTCAGCTGCAGATGACTTCTCAGCATTAGTCTTCTGGTCCAATTCTTTCTTACTAGCCCTAGCCTTGGCTCTTGCTGATGTAGATAAAACTGCCGTAGGAAGCTTCACAGCAGATGAGGCGGTGGCTACAGTTGTTGGCTTTGGATACTCAAATAGGGATTGTTTTGCATGTGACAAGAACTCAAATCTCGGAACCTTCAGGTCATAATTCAGTCCAATGAAAGCTGTTGGCGAGAAGGCCAAGCTAACAAAATATATTAGCGGATACCAGTACCAAAACTGGCTGAAAACAGCAAGACCAACCACTGCAGTCATTCTATCATGTTTTGTCTTTGAAAGCAACTTTATGGTCACATTCCTTCCACCAGCATCAAGGATTCCTGAGGCCAAAATTGCTCCCATCTTGCTCATTGTGTCTTCATGCTTATCCAAAATTATTTTCTCTAATTGACGCCTAATAAAAGATGAGAAAGGTGAAGAAAGACAAAAATGACAAGTAAAAACATATATGACATATAAAGAAGGTATAATACCTAAAAGCACCAACACGAGGATCACTAGCTTCACTGATCTGCACCATCACCATAGCCATTGCAATGAGAGCACCTTGACGAACAAAATCAACTACATCTGATGTCAGAGGCTCTAGCAATGATATGGCCTCACTCAGACTCGTACCCGCACAGGAGATACCTACTGCTAGAGCAGCACCATACCGAACATGTGGATTGTAAGACTCAGAAAGCAGGGAGACAATTCGAGGGGTCTGCATGGGACAGTTAGATCAATAAGAATGAATTCCCCAAACAATTAAAATAAAAACCCTGAAATAGCATAAAACTAATAGTCCCCACCCCCCATGTGTGTGTGTGAGAGAGAGAGGGTCAAGCAGAAAATATTAACCAGATATGATCTAAATAAATAGTGGCTGAAGATATATAAATATGTAGTCACAAACAGGCACAAGCACACGTGCATGCTATCAGAAGAATCAAGAAAGCTACTGTTGTATCAACTTGAGAAGGAGAAGAAGGGGAGGGAACAGGAACCAACCTGCTCTGGTTCAGAATACAGAACAAAACCAAGTGCAAGAACAGCAGTCCGCCTGACATCGTCGCTCACATCTGACACAGCAAAGTGCAGCAGCTGGCGGATGGCCTTATTGTTTGCTGTTCCCCTGTAGGCCAATGCCAAAGCATACATGCCACCATAACGCAGTATAGGGTCTTGATCACGAGTCATTTGCTCGATGAGTGTGTCTGCTTCTTCTTCCCTTCCATAGACGGTGAGGGCTATCCCCAATGCCAATCCCCTGCAATATTTAATAGCCACCAACTACCCAGTAAGAAAAAACATGGCAAAGCCTTAATTCAGCACCCAGACTACAAGACCCGAGTTTACCTAATGATCTTCTCATGCTGTGTCTCATGTGCATAAGCAAGCATTTCACCTGCTTTCTCACTTGCAGTTCCAACCATTAGTAAACCCATACTGATACCAGCAGCTTCACCAGCAACAGCACTGTCCATGTAAAGCACATTTTTTATATCATCATAGATATCTTCATCGGCAGTTCCCAAAGCTGCCAAACCAAGTCCTAAACATGCACCATGTTGAATAACCTGCAACAATGAAAATTCCACAATAAATCTGGCAACTGTAGAATTTTTTATGCAAGAAGGTAGGCCTTCCAAAGCAAGCACCTCAACGTTGGTACTTCGTAAGCTATCACGCAGAAACTGTTTGATGCCCTCGCCATGGTTTGCATGAATCAGACCCAGAGCATACAGGGCACCACCTTCTGAATATGGACTGCCCCCACCACCAGCCCCACCCTGTGGCAAGTAAGGGGTCATCAGTAATCTTCCTTTCCCCAGTTGGCCTCTGTGAATAACACCGAGCCCTGCAGTTGCACTAAATTTAGCCCAATTTGTGGCCCTGCTGAGCCAGTCCTGACAATTTACATAAGTAGCTACAATTAATATGACAAATCCAATCTAGATCATGCAACAAAGAAAAAAAACCAGGAAGAATGAACAGCAAATTTGTTCACCAGGTTCTCCCGGAGAAATGTATCCACCGTCGTCCCAGCATGCATAATTGCATTAGCATATATTGTTGCACTGTGACAGACACTATTTCTCATCTCAACAGACTGCTTTATTGTCTTAAGAATAAGGAGATCTGATCTGTAAGAAAATACATAACCATCAGACCATAAGCATATCTTCATTACTTAAAAGAAATTCTCGTAAATATTAGTTGATTCATTTAAGAATAACAGGCCTAAAAAATAATTGCCTCACTTGTTATGACTGTATAAGAATTGCAGTGCCAACCATATTGAAGTCTCTCCAGACAAAATTCCTTTGATTTTTGCAAACTTCTCAGCATAGATAGCTTCCCTTGGATCAACATTAGGCACATTTCCATTAGAAGCTTGAGTTTCATCCATCATCCGAACCTCCTCTGATGCAGAAGCACTTCCATTTTGTATAGAATCAGGCTCAGCAGATCCTGATTGCTCAGGTTCTGAAGGATGCAACTTGGGATCGGAAAGCCGATCTCTCACCTTCAATAGAAAAGCTTGGTGCTCATTCTCTAAGAGGTCAAAAGCTATTTGAAATGCCAACAGAGCATCCTCCTTATTTTCAGAAAATAGAAGTTTTTCTAATATGCCTGCAACACCCTCTGGTTCGTCTAAAAACATGAGGCATTGACAGATGCTCAAATAATCGGGAGAAGGCAGCTTTTGATACACTTTAACAAGAAGACGAAGCACCTGTACACAATTGACATAGGATCAGTGCAGGATGTAACCAAAACAAAATGATCTCATGAAAAATATCTAGCAGGACGTTGTGAAACATTTGTAACAGAACGTAAGATACAACACGATAAAACCAGGATGTATGAGTGTGTCTGTAAAGCTATAAGATTTTCAACTTCAAAAGAAAAGGAAAGTACACAAACTTATGCCTTGAAACTTAATTACAGAAGAGCACATGGTTTGAAAATAAAAAACAGAAGTCCTATAAAAAAAAAGAACGTTCCTCGCTTGAAAACTGAAATCATTTCACATCGACTAAAACTACAGGACATCATAACATGTACCTGAGGAACTCTATAGCAAATTCTATTTATAAAACACTGTTTCAGAGCAGTTGATTTCAGTCTATACTTGTGACTAAATTAAGTATGAATGCTTGAATACCCAATGTAATCGAAGTATCCCAATCCAGTCAGAGGGCAATGATCTGTAACCTCGATTCATGATTCAAATCAGATTGGTCCGTTAACTGTACTTTTGATATTGGATTTATAGGAGACCTTGTCTGATAATAATACTTCAATCTGGCAAGCAATTTATGTATTGAAATTTTTTAGAAGTCCAGGTCCATTCTCTTTTTTAAGTATGTGTAAATAATTGTTTCGTCTTTTATGCAAAATAGGATTATGCCTTATAAGAATTATTGGATTTGCTATTTGATTCCACAAAAAGCAACTTAAGGATGAACCTCACGAACAATCCGGACTTGGATCACTCCTGAATTTTTCTGCCATATTGTCATATCAGATAGTGGGCGAACTGAAGTTCTGGTTACTGAAACAATTAAATTACCTTAGCATCCAACATTTAATTGCAACCCATATGGAGAAGCAAGTCAACCACAGATTCCCCATGTTTAAGCAACCAATTTGCTTTTACAATGTCAAACAGGAAACCATTTCTAATCCACAAACCAACACATTAAAGATAAGGTAAATTAAAACTACACCACCTAAGTTTTGGTGATATAACACAGCAACCCCTTGATTTTTGAGAAACGTCATGAAGACCCCTTATCGGAATTTTTAGTACAAATTGTTAAGGAAATAACCATTTTACGTTATTTAACTGAGTTTAAAAAATTGAAAAAAAAAATCAACAAAAATTGGAACTAATATGGAATTTAAAATTTTATTTTTGTTGATTAGCTAGGAATGGGTGTCTATGTTGGACAAGTCACAAAACTGTGGAGGTCTCTGGCATTTCTGAAATGTTAAGCATTGTTGTGCCAAAACCCAAAGGTTTTGACATAATTTTCCCCAAAAGATGCTTATTTTTCATTACCTTGTTATTTCCCTCATGTCTCATTTTCTCCTCTTTCTCTGATCTCATTTTCATTATCTTCAATTTTGTTCAGTCAAATATAACTCTACCAAAAGACTTGAATGATGAACCATAACAGCAAGAGGCATTCCTACTTCTTTTTTCCTTGACAGGAATGAGAAATATTATCAATGATAGGTTGAAGAGCACAAGAAAGGAAAAGTAAGCGCTCTAAACATTACAAACAGGAAATAGCAAAAGGCATTCTTTTTATTAGGTAAGTGCTGCATGATTTTAACATAAGCTGGCAACATGCCTAGCATGGTAACTCAAGTAAAACCAATGAACCATCGCAATCAGATTCTTAACTGTCATATTATTTGACACTTGACAGAAAATTTACAACAAAGACCAAAATCACAAAAATAGTGACCAATAAGGCAAGATATCTAAAATGGATGAGGATAATATTTTATTTACCTCGCGTCGGTATTCCCTAAGATTAACAAAGGAATGAGAGACATTAATGCAATATGACAGAGTTGCATGAACATTATCACTCCTTGTAATTGCTTCCTCAAGTTTATCCAATCTTCGACATTCAATGGCTGTTCCTATAGCTTGTTGATATCTTCCATCCACTATACACCTAAATAGGAAAGGGGAAAATGATAACTATAAGACACAAAGGGAAATCAGGGCTTCACAAAAAGTAGACGCTTACATACTTGTCAAGCATTCTCTCAACAATGGCCTCCAACCTAGGATCCACATCTGCTGCTTCATTTGACTCAGCTGCCTTAGTCTTAAGACTGGCATATTCATCTATAGCTTTAGCTGAATAAAGAAACAAGAAGAAGTCTTGTATTTGTCAGTCTATAATCCAGTAAGTCTCTAAACATCCATAATACAGACACTGAAATACAAAAGATGCATATCAAGATGATATCTTGGTCAACACATTCTTATTCTTCTGTGGACATTTAACCACTCAAGAGCAACCAATGTTAAACCACAAGCTGATTTTTCAAAACCAGAAAATATATATTATATATTTCACCCAGAAAAATGGATATAACAACAGATTCTTACAAAGAAGAGTATGAACATAATCTGAATCCTCCGAAACATCAAATAAAGGTCCTGCGCCAAGGGCATATACTAACGAGTCATTAAGTTCACCCAAGTAATAGAAAACCTGTAGAAAGAAAAGAGAAAATTGTGAAAAGAAGTAAAAAAAAAAATATGCATCTCAAGCATTGAGATATCTGAAATCTCAACTTTTATCCCCACATTTAAAAGGTAAAAAAAGATACATTTCTGAAACTAAATTTAACAAAAAAAAACTGGTAATTGTAGCATACAAATGCTATCAGGAAAGGACATGCAGGAGCAGATTCTATTGCTACCTTAGAGCTTCTATCCTAAAAGGCCTTGTGGCCCTCATCCTTGTTATTAGACAGCCTCCAAGAGAGTTGCAACATATTCCTAGAGTGGAGGAATGGATCTCACAATGTCACTGCACCATGTGTATGAGAATGAGAGAGAGAGAGAGAGAGAGAGAGAGAGATGGGCGAGGGGTGGAGAGGGATGGCGAGACTGTACTTCAGATAACGGAAGTGGGGACTGATGAGAGTTACTCATTTGATTCTAGCAAGGATCAAAATTTTTGTTTTGAAATGGTTGAAACGGCTGAAACATTCTCATTTCTATGGCAACCGAAACAAACATGTGATTTAGTATTGAAACCCTATATTTCAAGGTGTTTTGGAATATTACAATATGCTTGGAGATGCTTTGACCAATGTTTTCGGAAATAAATTTCCAATTTTTTTCTCCATCCTCATTCTATTTCCAAAAAGTTTTTGTTTTACAGATATCCAAAACAATATATTAAAACAAAATTTTGATCCTTGGATTCTAGAACTTCGGATTCCAATTTCCTTATTCACTTACCAGCTTTCATTAGAACAATTTAAGAATATTTTGATTTGTGAATGAAAGCGACCATGGGGGAGACCAACTTTGCCTCTCCCATAATACTCATATCATCGGGCTAGCCATCCCCTGGATCACCTGTTTGCAATTTGATTGCTATAAGGCCAAGCAACAACTTTGCAATCAAGGACCAAATAATCGTTTCGGTGAATTGTTTCGGTCACCTAGGAAACGAAAACGTTTCGACGTGTTTCAAAAACGTTTTGACCCGTTTCGAAAACTTAATGAAAAAAATAAAAAATTTAAGAATTATTTTTTTTAAATATTGATGGAAATATATCAAAATATCTTGAAATATCTTGAAACATTTTAAAACAATTGTGCAAATGCATTGAAATATTATAATATAGTTAAAAACATAATGGAATACCTCGAAATAGTAAAATTTCGATTCTATCACTGTTTCGTTTCGGTCTCCTGAGAAACGGAAACGTTTCGGAGGTTTCGAAACGATATTTTAATCCTTGTTTGCAATAAAACTATGCATAATGTTTAGAAACTTATGCAACATCCTTTCCCGTCCCCATGGGGCTTGTAGAAATGCAGATAATGGGATGAGATGATATCAAGAACCAGAGAATAGAGTTGCAATAAAAAAAAATTAGCAGCCAGTTGCATTTGAGCTTGCCTCCTTGGCAATATCAACCACCCGTGGCTATTGGCAAACTGTGATGGCTCCACATTTTAGATGAAGTCTTTGATATGCACTGGTATAATTCCAGTTTTCTATCACACCACAACCTATTAGTTTGACGTATAAAAGATTTATGGGTAAAAAAGAAAACATCCCAAACAGACTCAAAACTGTTGTACTGTAGTTTGCTGCCAAAAATGATATGAATGTATCAATTATCAAATGTCCGAGAAGACATGAAGGAAATAATAGAAAATATGAAATTTAAATTTATTCAGGTGAGATGTGTTAAGTCAGATTCCTGATTATCTTATCTCCCTCCATCTTCCTGGTAATCCTAATCAACCCAGAACCCGCAATTGCAGAAGATCACCTTTCCACATGTTACAAGTGCACAATAGAATAATGGTAGAAACACTATCACAAATGGAACCTAAATGAGAAACACATAAGAAACGTGCTATGACCTTTGAAACAAGTAAGCCAGCTAGTTGTCTATGGTCAAACTCTTCATCTTCATACAAACTCTCACTGCATGACAAAAATACAGAAGCATTCATCTATATTAGCTGTACTGATATAGCTCCTGCAAGCGAGTAATTAGTTGTTTATCACCCCAATAAAAAAAGCATAAGGTGAAAGTAATGGGACAAAAATGCATATGAACTTAATCAAAATGATATTAAACAACCTCATAGAAATTTGAGAACAAAACAAATGTCAACAATTGAAGCATCATCTATCTCCATATAAAGATATATTTAGTTGATTTCCAAAAAAAAATATTATGACAAGAAGATAAAATAGAGGCTTTCTCTAGATGACAAGATACTATAATATAACTTTTGTTAATAAAAGGAGACCATACAATCATATCTCAAAAAAGTGATAGTTGCCCCTCGCCTACCCATAAAAAAAAGTGATGTAATAACTCACACCAACACCTCCCCCAAGAATGCCCGCATGGCCTGGGAAGGTAATACACAGGAAACTCTTTTACCGAAAAAGTCAAACTGAGCTACACATACTCAGAATTTGGCCATTTCTCTCCCGCCAACTACACCAAACTAAGACATGCATGACTCCTCTTGAAAGCCTTCTGCATTTCTAAAGTTAGTAGTACACAATTCCAATTCTATCCTTATGCACATAATGAATACAAACAATGAACACATAGAGACTCAGCACTTTGTGTGCAACAGGAAAAGAAAACTGACTGATGCAACTCAAAAGAGGGCTCAACAAAAAACAAAAAAAATAAAAATAAAGATGAGAGGTCTGATAATAAAATCAAGATGAGATGCTACCAGACAAATTATTGGGTTTTCTAAGTGTCGTCTAGGAGCTTTATATGATTTACCCAGCAAGCTCCTATGTTTGGTCTATATAGAGTCCATACCCTCTTGAGAGTTAGGATGTATTTTGGTCTATGTAGAGCTATAGTACCCATTCCATTCAATAAACACCAAGTATGACAGAAGTTTTTCAGTTATTGTGCTACTGGAGGAAGATGCAATGCAAATTGTACATATCACTGTGATCCTCAAGGGACCATAAAAGTGATTCCCAAAATCTTCATTTGTTTGGTATTTTAGGATCTTCTTCAACTTTTTTATTTTTCTCATTCAATCTCCTGATTTTTATATGTTTTGAAACCCATATTCTCTAGTCTTTCACTTACTGAAATCAAAAGCTCAAGTCCTTCACCCCTTCTACTATTCAAAAGTAGCAAATTTTTTTATAAGAAAATAATACAATATAATGGACAACACAACCGCCCAAAGAAAACATATAGAAACAAAAGGGGTACAAACTCCAGGACATTAAAATGCAATCATCCAGCAATATGACACAATTCAATTGACATTAGGGAAAAAATGGCACATCCTTGAACTCTTTAGCAATAGCTACCCAGAGGGAAGTCAAAAACTTTATTTGTTCAATAGAAACTCCACAAATTGTTCCTTATCGTAAAAAATTCTCCTATTCCTTTCCATCCGGATCACCCAAAGAATTTCATAACCACCCATTCCCACAAGATAAAGCTCTTACATCCTTATCCAAAAACCCCATAGTTAATCTCGAATAGAGATACACAATCTTTTGGAACTACCTAAATCAAACTAAACTTTCAAAACGCTTTGTACCACCCTTTCACATGTACTATTCATAGCTAAACAAATAACAAAATATTCTCTTGTTTCCTGGAAACCATACCCCACTATTACACCCATAAAAACAACCCTCTTTATCGATATGTTACATCGCTAGTTGTAATTGTTGTAATATCAAAGCTAGCGGGAGGGAATTTCTTTTAGGCAAGTTCTGCATTAGGCTGGCAATAGAACAATGTTATTAAAAGTGAGCCTAGGCGCAACCTAGTTCACTTGGAGTGCCCCAAGCAAAGCAAGCTTTGCTGAGGCGAAGATTAAGTGTCCAAGGCGAGTGGATATTTGGGATTTTGTTATTTGTCTCTATTGTTATGCTTATAGTTTTGCTTTTAATTCTTTCTTTTATTCATGTATCTTTTTCTCTGTAACTTTTATCAGGAGGACTCCTTGTCCTCTTAAAATTATATTGAGGATTAATAAATTTTCATGTTTCCAAGCGAAAAAAATGTCCAAGGCGAGTGCTTCTTGCTTAATCGAGAAGCGAGAAAGCAAACACTTTGGTAAATTTTTTATTTTGCTTTCTGGGTCTATTATGGACCATTAGATTTGATCAATTGAATCAAAATTTGGATATGCCAAAACAACCGATTGCCTCGTGATCCATATATGTATTTCTAACCCTAAAATTTTCTTCCACAACATTGATTGAGAATTATGAGTTGCTAGAGAGAAACGAGAGAATTGAAGGCACAACCTGAGTACCTGATTCACCCAAGTTTTTTTCTTGTTCTCCTCCTCTTCTCTTCTCCTCTTCCCCCCTTCTCATTCTACTAGTACCTCCAAAAAACCATAGGTGACTTGGAGGTTGAGACTCACCAAACCAATGTCTTTTTCTTCTTCTTCCAAAAAAAAAGGATACACGGGAGGGACAATGACAAACAAGGTGGGTGTGTACTTCTTTTCCTCTTCTTTTTCTAAGATGGAGCTAAAGCTCTACTTTTGTTGGAGCTTTGTTTTTGATGGCTCAACAACTCACTATTGCTGAAGCTCTGCTTTTGCTTCAAGTTTTTGCTCCTGTTTTTCTATTTAGTTTTGGTTTTTTGCTTCAAATTTTAAGATTTGAAATATTTTGTATTTTTTTTTTTTTGAATTTAAATGTTTATGTTTCAGTTGATGTTAAGAATAGAGATATTATTCATGTGTGTTTGAATTGAAATGTTTAACCTTTTAGTTGTCATAAAATTTGAGATATTATTGGTGTTTATTTCAATTCAAATGTTTATATTTTTTATTGCATTTGAATATTTAGTATTTGAGAAGTTGGAACTTGATATTTAGTAGTAACGAAAATAAAATATTTGCTTGGTTTTTAATATTATTTGTTTTACTTCGATGAAGCTCTCGCATTGCTTCTTGCCTAAGCTTCAGGAGACTGGAGCGCTTCGTTTCTTGCCTTATATCTTAAATAACACTACATTAGAAAATACAGGGTAGTCTTTATCCACACTTGGCCTACACCCTTATCTAGCTTACACATAATATATCTATTTGAAACACCCTTCGAGTTATCTTTTGAAAAAGAAAGAAATCCCCCCCCCCTTTCCTAATAAGATCATCATGATGACAAGCACTTGACCTATGGCATCAAACTACTCATTCCAATCTTCCAATCCTTCGAGCCAATTAACCAGTTGAAGCTCTTTAAAGAACACCATGATTTTTTTAAAACTTTCAAGAATTAAAAAACTCTATTAAAAAGCAGAGTTCATCTCCTCCTCTTTCCCACCGCCAAAACACCTCCTTCCATAGCCATCAATATATATATATATATATATATATATATATATATATATATATATATATATATTTCACAAAAGAAAACTTGCCACACCAAGCATCTCGATTATTAGAGAAAGACTAAAAATAGTATGTTAGCCATTACATACTCTCCAAAATTGTGGAGTACAGATACTTTGGTTACAGAGATGAATTCGAATCTAATACACAACGTTTATACAAGTATACACCCTCAAGAAAAGAACGTATTTGTGTCGGACACTAACACTCCTTAGACACTCTTGGACACGTGTTTAATAACCTTTTATCTGTATTTATAATTAAATGATAAAATTTTAATTTCAGAAACATGTCCAACAATTTTTTAGACCATGTCAATTACTAAATAATAAACATTTGTTGACATGTAATAACGAAGTTTAAAAATTTGACTAATAAGTGTCTTATATTGTGAGAGAACATATAATTTCCAAGACTAAGCATGTTAAAATTGTACCCAAAATATAATAATAAAAATAAAGGATGCATAAAAATTTTAAGAAAGAGGAATTGAGAAAATGAAAGCAATCATTTAAATTATATGTGTTGGGTATACGTTGTTTACAAAACAAATTGATGATTATTAACTATTAGGATACTTTAGTCCAAAAATTCACCCCACATAACTACACTTAGCATTTACCTATCATAAAGCATTGAGTTTTTTTATGAATGATTGTATCATTATTACTATATTTGCGTTAAATTATATAGTTTTATATAAAAATAATAATTATCTATAGTGTGTTTCCAACATGTCCATGTCCTACTTTTTTAGAAAGTCGTGTCCGTGTCCGTGTCGTATCCATGTCCCATATCCATGTTTCTTAATTTTGAACTAAATAATTAATCAAACATTTTTTGGAATTGGATACCAATTAGTACCCTTTGAATATGAATACCTCCGCAACAAACCCATGCTCATTGTATTTGGTAAGGTGATTTGTGTTAATTTAAGTTCACCTTTGTCCTTAGTAATCCGGTAGTTTAAAAGCTCCCTATAGATCTTCCATGTAAAATTGCTTCAATACGAAAATGAGTGGTTTTGTGCACCTTGAGGGTGGAGTTGGCTGAAATTTTGAGAATGGCTCGTAGTTTGCTTGAGTTTAATAATCATAAGCTAGAGCTTGTGTTAAAACCAATAGGCCATATTGCAATCAGATATGGCCAAAGTTGGCACCTCTTGAAGGATGACATATGCCAAACTTTATCATTAAGTAGAACATTTGATTGAACACGCCATTGCCATGGTCCCTATGTGATCTATATACATTTGTTTAGTTTGGAATGGGTTTTTTCCCTAGCTTCTCTGATTGTAAAATCCTATTTTTTCACGGATAGGCTATACTTATTCAAAAGAATTTTATAAATATTTATCAACTAGATATATCCTAACCATACCCATTTCCTATTTTTTAAGATTATATCATATTGTCATATTCGCATCCTGTCGCACTATCCATGCTTCCTAACTGGAAAACCTAAATTTCTCCATACCAAAAACCCTCAAGTTACCATTATAACACAAGAACAACCTAATGGATATTCATACTACCCTGGAATCAGAACTAGAACACAAGCGCCCACTTATTTATTACGACCTTTATAATAACTATAACTTTGTATTAGATATCCAATAGAAACAAGAAGATAAAGCACAACACGGAATAAGAAATTTGAATTGTTAGGTATTACATGCTTCCAAAAAAAACACAGAACTTTCATCAACTAATCTCAGTACAAAACATTTGAATATCATTTTATCTCAATCTTCTAGGTCTTATAGGCAACTGAACAGATGGCATTCCATTCCCCATACCAATTTAGAAGGACCATATTCAAACTCTAATTCATATATGTGTTTGTGTGTGTGTGTGTGTGTGGATGTATTGTGTGTACAAACGGCGGAGTACTTGCTCAATAGTGTTGTACTGTCGTCTCCTTGGGAAACCAAAACTTCAATCACAACACAAATGGTTCAAACTTCATTACTTCATCCTCTTTCCCTCAGTTTTTCAGCAACAATGCCACCACCCTAATCAGTAATATTTTGTCAATTCAATTATATTTCCATCTTTTTGGGTATCCAAGAGACTATTAAAGCTCATAAGATTCGAATTTGCCACGTCATCACACTTTCCCTTGAATTTTCTCATGAACCAAACCAAAAAATTCCATGCCACCAACAATCAACAATAGTCAAATAAAAAAATCCTAATTCTATAAATACAGAATTACACACACAGAGACACATAATGGAATTGGAATATACATGATGGGGACGGAAGTGGAGATCTCGGGCCAGAAGTAGTCAACGAAAGCATTGAGATTGGAGAGAGCATGAAGCTTCAGCAATGGATGGCTCTCGTTCAGCATCGCCAGTAGCCCTCCGGCCGAGCTCACCATCGTCGCCGCCGATGAAGTCATTCTTGTATCTTAGTGCTTCACCACCACACTCTGCGAATTCCAGTTCGAGAATATATGTAAAGCTAGGGTTAGGATTTTGGATCTGAGAGTGTGAGGCAGGGTTAGGGCTCTGACGAGGAACCGAAACCCTAGGGAAATGGAGGAGAAGGAGAGACAATGGAAGAAGAGAGTGCGTGTTGCTGAGGAGAAGTACTTTTGTTTCGCCTTCGGTTGGGAAAAGTGCACGACGCATAGTCGGGGTTTTTCTAATTTCTTTTTGACGAATTACACTCTGTGCCCCAAAATTTCCCAAGTTTCTCAATTTACACCGTATACATTCACATTCTTACATTGTATATCTATACAATAAAACATCTCATACTTTGAATTTTATCTCATTTATATTTTTCTCCTTAAAACCATCACCAATCACTTACCTCACTCATCGTCCCTCCGTCAGACTCAAACGTCAAGTCGCATCATTCATTTTTATCACATATTTAATTATTTATATATTTTTTCTCTAAAAATATCACATCACTCATTTATATCATATGTTTAATCATTTAATATTTGATTAATTTATAGTTAATATAATTTTTATTTCAAATATTATTCATATAAAATAGTATATATATATTAAAAAAAATTAATATAATGGGATCAATTTTTTGAACAAATTTTATATTTTATTGTGCCTTCAAACACGAGTTATGACTAGTATATATATGTGAACCATCTACATCACAGTATCTTGTGAGAATTTTTTACGTGAACCATTAGATCACAATCCTGACGATTACTAATTGAAAAAGATCAAAACTTAATACAAATGCCGGCCACATCTAACTCTTAACTAAAAGGAAACTCTAATAGCATATTAATTGTAATCCTCGTCTTTTAACCAAAGTCAATGTAATCTTTTAAACATGAAATCTTTCAAAGTTAATGTTTTTTTTTTTTTGACCCTTTTTAAATATTATCAATCAGGTTGACACATTGATTGTTCAGCGGATTTTTCTAGTAAATAAGCCAAATAAACAATCAATTAACAGACCTTATTCACAAACATTTTGTTCTTCTTTCTATCTTGGGTTTTTCATATTTTGCATCTCGAAAGATATTTTAATTCTCATTTTATACCTTGAATGATTATTTTTTTTATATTATGTCATGAATTAGTTCTAATGTAGCTCTTAGACTAACATCTATTTTAGATTCTATTAAAAATTGATGTATATGTCACACACGTATGAATTATATGTGTAATTAAATTAAAAAATAAATTAAAAATCAAATAATTAATTTATATTGTCATTATTAATTTATTCTATTAAAATTTGAGTACCTACTTTGTCATTTATTTAGGTATCTTTCCAACTTTTTTGGGCATTTGCACACTAATTATATTATAAAATTTTAAAATAGTTCAAAACAAATTGAAAGTCAAATAGGAGTAAAAATGCAAAAATTAGATGAAAGTATATATATTGGTAGGTATATATTATAATAATTAAAGTTAAAATTGGAAAATCAAAAAAAATTTGTAGATGTTGACATTTATAAGTAATATATATCTAGATATAAATATGCATCAATTTTTAACAGAATTTGAAGTAAATGATAGTTCGAGGGTCACATTAAAATTAATTTATAACATTTAGGATATAATATAAAAAAATAATCTTTTAAAATATAAAGCGAGAATCAAGACAACTTTTGGTGCATAAAGTGCAAAAATCCCTTGTATCTTCCATTGATCTTGTTGTACAAGAGAATCAAGCAAGAAGAGTGTCCGATTGCTGAGAATCAGTGCAGGCGGTCATTACCTGGAAAATATTTCGGTGGAAACTAGGAACTTCCCACGAAAATCTTCGCTGCAAATAGTGTTGTAGGGCCTGTCCAGGTAAGAAAATAACTAAAGAAGTTGGAAGAGTGCAATGAAAGTAATCAAATAAAAGAATGTTTAATGTTAGTTGGAGTTAATTTTGTGAAATAATGAATTGCTGTTATTAAACTGACAGGAAAGCTCTAATAATATATGGGACCCATTACCAATTTAATAATGTGATGAATCAGGTAATTGATAATTGGTAATTGGCTAGTTGTTTTCACTTTTGTTATTTTTTCAGGGGTTGTAATCGTGTCGAGCACTAGTTAATCTTAATCCAACCCGTTTAACTAATTGTGTCGTGTCGATCTATTTATTTTCGTATTGTGTTCGTATTTATGTTGACACATATAATCCGTGATAAAAAATTTAACGCTAATTTTTATTTTTCATTATTAGAACCTATGCTCATAATTTTTTCATAAACTAAAAATTAACTTGGTAAATATAATAATAAAAATATATTTTTTTATAAAAGATTTAGGTCACTACTTGATAAAATATAATAAAAATTTAACATTTTATTCTTATAGTATTACTTAAACATGTTAATCGTGTCAATTCTGTATTATTTGTATTTGAAACTAACCCAATCCATTTATTACTTGTATTAGTTGGTTGTGTCATATACAAGTTTGTGTCGAGAAATAGTAAATCTTAATCTGTCAATTTCATATCGATTTCGAACCGTATTTTTTTGTTGTGTCAAAAATTGCCATCTCTACTCCCTTTCATGTTTGGGCTAACTTTCCACATGAAGGATATTAGTACTACACACCATCGATGCATATTTGCTTGATGGGTTTGGAGGAGTTTGGAAGGGTATGAATAACATAAAACATGACAGATTTTAATAAATTTATTCGACAATTTTAAATAGATTCATCAAACAGTTACCAATATTCATTTTAAAATTATTAATATTGCACAAAGCCTTCAGGAACGGATTACCTCTAGTGCTTAAATAAAATAATCTAATAGACCTCCAAATTCCATGTTTGATTAGGACTTTTCACATCTTAACCGGTAAGTGACCCGAAATATTAAACCCATATACATGGGTTGGGCAAACCCATGGGAGGGATGGGTTTCATATTTTCTAGTTTAAGTTAACTATGTCAAATGATATTTCTATCTCTAATAAAATATCTTATTTATCAAATCACATTTCAACCCCCTCCAATTACTCTTGCTACATCTACACGCAAATTTTGAATCCCAAATCAACGAAAATCATAGGATCATAAGGTTCCTCAAACTCTCGCTAACTATTCAATGGCTATCATTGTGATACATCATTTGAGATCCTAAAATTTGATAAAAATTTTGGTGGGCACATGTTATACCATAGTCCTATTCAAAACTTCTTTTATCAACGAATATTATTGGAGTTATAATAAAATAAATTGTGGTATCGTGTTGAAATTGATTCATAATAGTAGGTGATTTTGGTTTTATGAATATCAATTTATATTCAAAAACATACCTTTCATGGTGTTGGAAAACAAAACCTTGCTGGTCTGGTTAGTCTCTAGGGTTAACCGGTTCTGTCATATTACACTCATAAATATTCTCTCTCTCTCTCTCTCTCTGTACTGTCTCCAGTTTTTACAGTCAACAGGAAAGCAATGGGTTCTGATAACAAGTTCTTCAATCTCTCTGAAGTCTCTGTGCATAACAACGCCAAAGACTGTTGGGTGATTATCGATGCCAAGGTAATCCAAATAGTTCACAGCTTTCTATTTCTGCTTCTTTTGCTCAATCTCTCTCTCTCTCTCTCTCTCACACACACACACTAATTCTCTTGTTCAGCTATATGGTGGTAGCATTAATTTATGAGTGGTTTAGGTTAAAGAGTCGGGGATTCCATATGTTTGATATTTGAGATGATTATACTTGGAATAAACATTAATTGTATCCTTGGGCGACTTAATTTCACTTTCCTTGAATTAAATACATTTGAAACACGAATTGTACTGCATATTTGTATGTTTTTTTGTCAAAAACAAAATTGAAGAGAGATTCAAATGCAATTTAAATAGTTGAGAGATGGTAATTAATGTGAAGAACTCAGTACTTGGAGATCACAAAGTAAGATTAGAACAATAGTTAAACGGATTAAAGTATAATTTATCAGCCGTCTTTTGTTCTTATTATTGTTGTTTTATGTTTTGTGATTATTGAATTGATCGAAGGGCTCGTTTGCAGTCCTTTGCTTCGATAAAAGTAATGAAAACCTTGTGTCATTTACCATCATTTGATTTGCAGATTTTATATTTTATGTGGTTCTGTTTGGCAGTCCCATTCTTAATATTTGTTTAATAGATGCTTAATTGTCCATTATTAAATATTTTTAAGGAAAAATTTTATCACCACTCCCTCTAGTTAGGCATAAATTCAAAGACACCCCCTCCCCGTAACCGACCATTATTGACAATAAGAAAAGTGTTGATGTCGTACCAAATTTTTTTATAAAATATCAATTTTACCCTTCTTATTCCACATGAAACCCTTCTCTTTCTCTCTCACTCTTATGCCTCAACAACTCAATCACCTAATTGCAAATGTGGCAATGAATCCATGCCACTGGTCTTAGCATGAACCGGTGAAGAATAATATAAAAAAATTATATAAAAAATTTAGTGCTATGAATCGGTACACTATAAAAAAAATAAAAATCGATGACACTGTATGCTTAAACATAATATAAGAAAAAAATTCAAAATAATTTTAAAAAAAAAATTAAAAAAATTGGTAACATCGTAACATCGTATACTTAAACATAATACAAAGAAAAAATTCAAAACAATTTTCTTTTAAAAAAAAAAACCGGTAATACCGTACACTTAAATATAATACAAAGAAAAAAATTTAAAATAATTTTTTTAGAAATTTTAAAAAAAAAAACCAGTGACATTGTAAGCTTAAACATAATATAAGGAAAAAATTCAAAATAATTTAAAAAAAAAAACACTTAAATATAATACAAGGAAAAAATTCAAAAAAAATTTTAAAAAAAAATCAGTAATACTGTACGATTAAACATAATACAAAGAAAAATTTAAAACAATTTTTTTAGAAATTTTTGTTTAAAAAAAATGGTGACACCGTTCGCTTAAACATAAAATAAGGAAAAATTTTAAAATAATTTTTTTTTAAAAAACGGTGACACCGTATGCTTAAACATAATATAAATAAAAAATTCAAAATAATTTTAAAAAAAAAACAGTGACACCGTATGCTTAAATATAATATAAGAAAAAAAATTCAAAATAATTTTTTAAGAATATTTTTTTAAAAAAAACCGGTGACATCGTACGTTTAAACATAATACAAGAAAAAAAAATCGAGGACACTATACACTTAAACTATATAATATTTATATATAGTTTAATAGTACTGCACATAACACTTGAAAATAGGAATATATATTTATATATAGTTTAATGAAAGATGATTGGTGAATATGTAATTATTTATAAAATTCATGGTTAAAATGGTAAAAAATCTATTTTCGTCACGTCTGTTAGCCGACCAACATTAATAAGGGAGGTCAGTGAAATTTTAGAAAAGGTAAGGGATGTCGTTGAAGATAGACTTATTTAGAGGGGGTGTTGATGAAATTTTTCCTATTTTTAATTGTCAATTATTGTAATTGGGCTGGTGGTCCAATGACTTGTCGTGGCCCGTTTAGGGTCCTCCCCGATTCCCATAAGGTTGACAAGTCGGATTTGATTTACGGGAACTCTTGTTGCTCCCACCAATGTGGTTTTCCGTCATCTAGGTCCCACTGGTGGGCTTCTTTTGAATCCTTTTTTCACCCCAAAAAAATTTGTCAATTATTAGGCATTTTTAATCTATTTATTTTTTTATTTGTGAGGTTGTGATCAACAAAAATATCTAGGGGACCACAATTATATGGAAATCTAATAAACCAAAAGTTTAATTAGTTAGGGTTCCACAACAACTTGCATTACATTAGATTGAAATATTTTTATTTTGGATAAAAAAAAATATACTAATTAATGTGAATATCGATGGAATCGTATCATATTATTGTTATGTCGTATACAAATTAATTTTAACGGCTCTCATTTATATTATCTAAACATGTACACGAGTTTATTAATTGCATCATATTTGACTTCGCAAGCACAAACATGAATCATTTTTTAAACCTAAAAATCAAATATTCATTTTTTTTTATAAAAATGATTATTTTGTCTAAATAAAGTACTTAAAAAAGTATTACCAAGAATTTTTGAACTAACCTTTCGAAAAAAAAAAGAGAAGAATTTTTGAATTGAAAGCATCAGACACGAGACATTTGGGATGTATTTCACTATCTTAACTTTATCATTCTTTAGACTTTCCGAAAAAAAAAAAAAAAAAACTTTATCGTTCTTCAGAAATCGTATATTTCTTCAACCCAATTGCTCTTTAATTTGATTTTAGAAACGTAAGTATTTTTTTTATCAATATATTGTTTGTTCTACACAAACATCACCATTTTATAATGGCAAATGACTATAATTAGGATTCATTAAAAAAAATCGAGAATCTACTCATGGGAAAAACATTTCTCGGGTGGATCAAACACTATTCTATTTATATTTTTAACGTCTAAATGATTTTAGGTGTTAAAAGACTTTATTTTGAGGACTTATACTGAATCTAAGGAGATGATTATTGAACATGCTTACTTCACAACTTCATGTATTGTTGAATATAAAGAGCCCTTTCTCAATTTTGGCACTTTAGGTATACGATGTGACAAATTTCTTGGCAGATCATCCTGGTGGTGATGAGATCTTGTTGGCAGCCGCAGGTATGACACCAATTTGAGCATGTTTCTTCATTAATTTTACTATTTGCTGTCGGGTTACAAGTTACAACGCATAAATACTATAGATATAAATGTGAAGTGTCGGATAAATGGGCTTGTTTTATGATCTCCTCGTGAACCTACATGAATGAACTCAATTCATGTTCGAGTGTCATGAACATACAAAAAACCATTCCGGAAATCTTCCTTGATTTCCGGAATGGGGAGCTCTTTGATCTTTCCTTCGAGTCTGAGTTTCTATTTTTTAGAAGAATGGTAACAAAAAGAAGAGCACCAACTCCAAAAATTGGGTTGTTTGCACTACAAAATTGTTGACTCTTAGATCTATTCCAACATTTCTAGAGGATTACATTAAGCTTTGGTTGAAAGATGCGATGTACATCAAAGATTATCTCTTCAGATTCGTTAAATGGTCTGCGACGAATGATCTTTTGAAAATCAGTTTAACCAAACTCTTCTATATATGTTATACAAACTTGGATGAGAATAGAATCAATCTAAAAACTTTAAGTTCTTATTTCCAATGCAACTAATTAGGATTTTTTTTCTCGAATAGAAAGTGTATCACTAACACTTTTTATTCTTCAATTTTTCCGTCTATTCTATCAAACACACCATTAGAGTGGGTCCACATGGGCATCAATTAATTGGATTTGACATGTATCGCCTGTTTGTTGAGAAAATATTAGGTGTAACGGTGATATTACATCACTATTGTCATGTGGTGCCACAATTTTTATCTATTTTTTTAATTTTTTATCATTCTATTTTTCTATTATATCAAATAAAGCATAACTCATGCTATATCTTTGTTTTGTAGGCAAGGATGCAAGTGAAGAATTTGAGGATGCGGGTCATGGTAGTGCTGCAAGGTTAATGTTGGACGAATTCTATGTTGGAGAGGCTAATTCATCGACCATCCCGAAAGCCACCCCCTACAAGCCTTCAAAGCAACCTAAACAAATACACAACGATGAGGAGAAGTCATCCAATCTCATCATCAAGCCTCTGAAATTCCTCCTACCTTTTGCAATCTTGGGTTTGGCTTTTAGCATTCATTTCTACATAAGATGAACCTAAGATTGCATAGTGCATTGCGAAACAAAATGACGGTCAATGTATGCTTATTTTCTGTTTGTAGATTACCTATTATGAATTCAAGTGGAACCCACAATTTATTTGTGGGCTCCTCACTCATACACGGTGCTGTTGAGTAAAAATGTGTGAAAAGGATCTAGATCTATGTTTATATATGATCCATGTTGGTGCTTGTGCCTTGGAATTTTTGCATTGTGGAAATTGTGGTTATTCTTCTTGTGCTAGCTCCCCCCACCAATTATGATAATTGCCATTGCAGATGCATTTTCTTGTTTATCTTTAACCAAAGCAAAGTATTATATCAAGTGGCTTAGTTAGACTTAGAAGCTAGAACAAAAGACTCATCGGCTGTTACAAGTGTAACAAAATGACTTCATTTCTATTTATTTTGCTAGTTGAAAACTTGAGAGTAAATGTCAAAGATGTCATCATCAATTTGATACGACTTTCAATTTGCCCCTTGACTTCCAATTATCTCAATTTAATCTTTAGACGAAGTAAACATTTCATCAGTCCATCCCATCCAATTTTTCCATGAAAACAAATGGAAAGAGCCAAACAAATAGAAGTTTTTAGAACTAAATTCAAACAGGTATTATGGACTTTTCCGTTTGTTTTAATAGAAAATTAGAAGGGGTTGATTGTTAGGATTCATATAGTTTGAAGACTAAATTGAGACAATTTGACAATGACGATGCATTTTAAACCCGAAGGCATAGTTCTGGGCCATATAGGATATATACCCAAAACTTAAGGTTTTCATTAACTGTCACAAAATAGAAGATTAAGAACTCCCTGAAAGTCCTGTTAGCAAAGTACCCTACTTAGATGAGCTTTCTCTTACCATTGGGCTCCATGTCTCTTTGTTGAAGAATCAAGATGATAATCACTGGGTTGTTCTTCTTTGTCAACACTACTAAGGACCTGTAGGTTCGCCTATTTCACTTATGCAAGATAATAAGAATGAGTTATTCAAAAATGACCCTCTAACTGCTCGAAGGCTTATATCTATTTTCTCTCTATGCTTAACTACAACCCGTTGTTCTACCCAGTGGGGTACATGCACAACCCTCGGGCAAATCCAACTTGATTGACAGATGAGCAAAGGGAACCCACAAGGTCATTTCAGTTGATACAGTTATGTACATGTTTGTCACATGCTCACAACCTCAATGTCAAGGTTCATCTGCGGTAGAGAGGAGCACTCCATGGTGGGGGTGGAAATCCTCTTCAGTACAACCGGGATGTTGTTCTAAAAAATGACATTGTTTCATACACAAAATGACGTCGTTTTTTTTATATATGAAACGACATCTTTTTAAGAAACACCACCTTTGCGAACAGAGGAGGAGCTTTACCTGTGGATGGTAATGCTTAAAAAAAAAAAAAAAATTCTATATGATGATCTATTATTACCTCAGCTTCTTTGAGTTACAAACACATCATGGTTCATATTTTTCTGTTTCTGATTGATCACTGCCAGTTGTGTTTCTTTATCACTACCTCATGTCAATTTGGTTTTATTCTTTCCACTATAGATGTTACTCTAATATGGACCACATATGTTGTAGCCAGTCCAAACACTTACCTTCAATGAGCAAGACAAAAACATATATATGTTTTATGAAGTTGACCAAAACATTTCTATTGACTCTATTTCATTTGGACACTATATTTGACCCAACCTCCAATTATATCTCATCTCCGAGGTATGTTTGGTTCGGGTATTAGGAGAATAAAATTGAATCAATTTAGTAACTTAATACTATATTTGGATCAAGTTATAGAGTTCGATCTTTATAACAAGAGTTAATATTAGCCTGATATTATAATGTCACGTAACACCATATATATGATACACATTAATCCCATGTGATTGGAGGTATAAAATCAATCATGGTTGGGATTAGAGTTAAACTAACAAGAAGACCCTTGACTTGGTTTTGGATTTGATCAGATGCAAAGATGTTTGTCTTTTTCAATGTCATACCATACATTAATATCCGGTCCAATCTTAGAATTAGTATTAGGATAATAGTCTCACTTTATTCCAATCTTGAATCAAACATGATATACATGCAATGGGGAAAAAAATATTATATCGATTATTACTATCGATATAGATTGGATCAAGATAAATTGTCTAATGTATCCTATATTTTTTTAACCAAACATCCCTAGAATGCCATGATGTTGCCTGACTTAAGTTGAATCCCTAGAATGCCATGAATCTTTTGTTCAAAACGGTTTGTATACAATGTACATGTACAATAACTAGTAGTATGTGCAAATATATATACCTACCCATGCCATAGCTTGAAAAGAAAGAAGCAAGCGCCCACTAAAAGTACTTCCAAAAGAAAGAAAACCAAAGTACTCTAAAAACCGATATTTACCCTTTATATTTTAGAACTAGAACAAATTTACAATTGTATGGTGCAAGGGTTAGTTGCAGAAAATACAAGTACAAACTAGTGATGAAAAAAGTGAACAAAAGATTCTTCCCAAACATAACCACCAACAGAAGCTACCCCACCACTACCAGCAAATATAGCACCAATCATTCTCACAAGAGGCCAAAACTGGTAGTTCATTGAGCAGTGTGCCTCTTACAACAGTACAGTGCAACAACATCTAGAGTTGCTGAAAGGTGCATTGTCTCCCATGAAGATGAACAGTCCAAAATCTAACCATGCATAACCCTACTCAATGATTGAAATATTGCCATTTTTTCAAGTTCTTTTTCAATAACACCATCCTTTTCAACTTATTTATCAAACTATAATAGTTATTATAAGTGTTAATTTTTTTTTTATCAAATAAGTGTGTTAATTAAATAAACGCTTTTTAATGTAAAAACATGTTTGCCAAAAAAGCTCAAGTTCTTTCAATGGATTCAAGTCGTGCAAACAAATTTTCACATTTTTTTTGGTCAAAAAAAGAGGGGGAGGAACGACTAGTAACCCCGTGGGCGTGATCGTGAAAATCTTTTACTAGAATGTCCGGTTTGAGCTATATCTACTAACTCAAAAAATTAATCCATCACTACAACACCACCAAAGCCAAACAACAAATCACCTTATTCTTGTAAATCAAACCTTATTTGATAATTACTTGAGAGTTAAAGACAACCCTAAACAAGTACGATTTACTACTAAACCACCCGCTCGGTAAAAATTTCATAAAAACTATTATTTCGTAAAAACTATTATAATATGGCAAATAAGGTAAAAATCACATTAGATAAGGAATAAAGATGCAAAACTGTTGTAAATGAGTAAGAAACTCTGCATATCACAAAAGATTGTAAAGAAAAAGACTACATGAAGAGGGGGAAAATGGGTCATATTTATTCAGAAGAGTTCTTTCAAGATCCATCAGTACAAGAAGTATAGATAACAAAGAAGAGGAAAATACAGGGCAACAGAAACAAAGATCTAACCAACTTCTGCACTACTTGCACCAACCTCTCTCTTCCCCTGTCAGATGATCTGTTAGACAAACGATCTTTTTCTTGTGGCTGCTGTTAAACTTATAAGCTTTGTTATGTTACAGATCATTAGTCTACAGTCTACACCAATCGACGGCCTTAATTTCTTTACAACTAAAGAGAAGGGTGATGGAAACTGGAAATACTCCACCACCATAAAAACTAAAAGACAATTTTTCAGTTGTTCTCAAGCTTAGGAAGTCATGATGGAACACTAACATCTTTCAAGGATCCAGTTTTACCCATTCGTATCGGCCAGGAAGGGGCTTGTCCTTCACAGGATCGAAGTTGTACCTGCAAAAATTTCCAAGTGGGAGATTTTAAGTTAGCACATAGTCTGTAGATGACCTCTGCAGTTGGTATATCAAAAGAATAGAACCAAAATTTGAACACAAAAAAAAAGAAAAAAGAAATGAATTGAATTGGTGTTACTTCTCAACAAATTGTCTTTGCTGCTCTTCTTCTGGGCCGGAAAAGAAATCATTCATTTCATGTGCCGTTGGAATGTGTCTTCGCAATGAATTTTGTACGCTACTATTGGCCTGAGTTGAACTGGTTGGTCTAGTAGTAGAACCAGGAGTTCTAATAGTGTCTGGATCCCTTATCAAACTACAAGGTGTGGTCTCCCTAGCACTCCTGTCACAGCAGATATAGTTGATATTAGAGACACGTTACAGAAATCCGATAGATAGAGAGGAACAATAAAACATTCTGTACAATAAAATGTCTCTAACTAAAATAACTTTACTAGACAATGTAATTAACACTACCATAGCGAGAAACTCGTGCAGCATGTTAAAAAATTAAAAGTTAAAAACAAAAATAAAAAGAATGAAAGCAGAAAGTGAAAAGACTTTCTTTTAGCTGCAATCAAAGGCTTTCACACGTTTTTCATCCTCATCCACTTCAACAATCATGCAGAGTAACCCACCTGATATTCAATTAGGACATGTCCCTACCAATCATTTACAGCCTTGCAATTCAAGATAACAAGACACAAAATGTAGTCATCATGATACTACAAAAGAGGGGGGAATTTTTGATTGATACTTTGGTGACAAAGCTGCAAAAGGGCTATGCAGACCGGGAGAAATATACATATAGCCATACCATGCCAAAATGGAAAACGACTTGCACTTTATCTCATACACAACAAAGCAAACAAAATTCCCAATAACTAATTATGGGATGTTTTCCACACACGCATGCGAATTAGTTTCCTTAATACACAATGAGAGCATAAATAATCAGAAAAGAAAGGTGAAGTCATAGCAGGAAATAAATAGTTCCTGTGAAATATATAGCCTGAAAAGAAGCAGCCGTTGCACGATAAGATGGGCAAATTTACGCAGAGGAACCAAAAAGGCATAAAAATACGACAATTAGATGAGAAGTAACATAATAAAACTAGTATCCTCAAGATAAATGGCTGTAAAGAGCTCAAAAGAATGGAGCTACACATACTTTGAATACAAAGGATCTTCTGTAAATCACAAAAGAAAAGGAAGACAAAAACAATGAACTTCATTTTTCCATCTTTTCAAAGTTTATGTGCTTCAGAGGTTTCCCAAGCAAATATGAGAAAACCTCTTTGCTAGAACTACACAGTTCCCACCACAAAACAAAAACACACAAGCAAAACAGAGCAGGGCATAGGAACAAGCATAGATAAGTTCAAAATATAACACACAAAACTGTATCCTTTCACTGCCTAAAATTTACTGAGAAACAACACCGATAAAGAGAAAAAATTCTTAAAGCAATTTTAAAAAGCATTCTCAGCAAAAGTTAAAAAATTATTACAGATGTGGTGAAAATTTATTTCTCCTGCTCCAAACAAAGTGTGAAAGAGATCCCCTCATCCAGCGGTGGAGTTTAAAAGGGGAAAAAACTACTCATCCTTAAATGAATAAATTGAAAAGAAAAATTCCTTTTCCCCTCCTAACTCCCAGAAGCACCATGGCATTTCTGGACACCAAACAAAGTCCAAAATTCATATTTTTTGCTACTTTCTAACAGTTTTCTCAACAACTAAAAAGAGCATTCTAGAAAAAATCCCATTAAAAATCCACTTGACAAAACGGGAGGCCCCAAACGGAATTTTAACCCACCTATATTCATTCAAACTCCTAAACATTTCTTCCAAAATAATAAAAACCAAATATACAACATTTTGATGTTCTTACTTCCCCCACGTTTTCTTACCCATCAAACAGACTATGAGAATAGAACCAAGAAAAAGCTGCCTCTATTCATACTAATTTCCTCCAAAAACTTAACAAATGAAACACTTTAATAAAATTTCAACCAAGAAAATTGAAGTCACCATCAACCAGAGCATATTAAAAACTTTTTAAATAAAACTTCATCCAACAAAATTGAGAATTCAAACAATCTAAACAAGAAAACCAAGAAAAACCACCTTTCAGACTCAATTACATTTCCCCAAAACAATGAAATCATAAAATTTTCCCTCATTTTCTCACAAACTAAGACAGCATAAAAGTACCCATTACGAAAGCTCTCGATGCATGATTGAGACATTTTTTTTTATTTTGGTGGGGGCTAGAACTAGTTAACACTTCGAAAAACCAAACCAACACAAACACATAAAATCCACCTTTATTTAGTCGCACTCAAGAAAATTTCCTCAAAAAATAATTTATTTACTTTCCCACAGTTTCTCACCAACCAAACAGAGCATGCAAAAAACCCCTTTTACGATAAAGCCCTAATCGATCAAATTTAAGCTTGAAACACACGAACTAACAAAAGCCCAGAAAAACCCACCTTTCTCTACCTTCAAATTCCAACATATTCTCTCCAAAAGAAGCTTCAACAACCCCATCACAACTTTTCTCTTTGTTGTCGTTTTCGTTATTCTCTGTATCCCCCACTTTACCCACCACCTTTTCTTCTTCCTCCATGCAACCCTCCTCATTGTTCAATGACCCAGAATTTACAGAAGACCCAATTCTCAACCTCGAACTGGCTCTAAAACTATGGTTTGGGTTAGGGTTTTCAGGTCCAGGGCTCGGTAAATTACTTTCTTTCGGAGGCTGTCTCTGTCTTTTCGTATCGCTGTGGGCCACATGGATTGGGGGTTTTACAAGTCGTCGATTTCTCAGCTGAAGGTATGACCCGCCGGAGTTCTCCACCGCCGCCGCCGCCGCGGCGGATTTCTGCAAGCGTTGCAAAGCTAGGGTTTTAGCCCTTGTACGAACGCCTAGAGATGCCTCCATGAGAACCACCTCCCCTGTTGTCTTTGACTTCCTCATGTACTTACCCATTTGCTCTGCATGTGTGTGCGTTCAGCTGAGAGTCTAACACAACGTTCTAGTGGAGTTAAGAGAGAGAAGACAGGTGGAGATTTTAGGAGAGAAACAGACAACAGGTTGATGAGTGAGAGAGGTGGGTGGGTTTCTGTTGATGGTTAGAGGGAGAATGGAGGGGCAGCGGTTTGCAGTTGTTGGTCAGAGAGAGAGAGAGAGAGAGAGAGAGAGTAGCTTTGTGCAGAAGAATGGAAAGGCAAGGACTGAAGAGTAACACACAAGGAGGAAAAAAAACAGGTTTGTGGCCTGAGAGATTGTACTTCCAATATCTCATGCTATATTTCCATTAATAGGTATTGAATTTACCATCTACTCATGGCACTGTTTTCCTTTTCTTTTCTTTTTTTCTTTCTTTGATTTATTTGCAGGTATTTTTCCTCCCTAAATTTTGTATTTTGTATTTTTTATTTTATGAATAACATTTTTTTTATTTCAATTTTATGAATCAGTTTATTATTGTCGTTGAATTAGTAACACTTTCCTATATTATTGTCGGTAAAATTATTGTCAATTACCAATATCCATTTCTAGAATCAAGAAATTGCGTTAATAAATTGAGTTTATTATGATAGATGTGGTAAAGACACTTGTTTTAACTAGCAATAACTTTATGTTTGAAGATATTTTATAATACCAAAAATCAAACATTAATTGTGCAGTATTTATAATTTAAATAATAATTTACTATTATTTTTTAATTACGTAGTTTAATATTAAAATGAATAGACACTAAATAAGAGATAAGTAAAGGAAAGAGAAGCATTGAAGAGTGTGTTGATTGAGTTGTTTGATATTAGAGACCGTGTAGAGAATATGATGTTTTTAAGAGAGAAAAAAAGGATTAAAGTATATGCAAATTAAATTAATTCTTCACCCTTCTTTTACTTTTATAAGTTAAAAATTCAACTACCTAATTATAATATTATATAGATGTCGTGGGATCGATCATTGATTTAGAAATTATTGAAACACATCTAGTGGTATGCTGTGAAACACACAAAATGCTACATAGATGAAGAAGTTAGACACAACGAGAGATTTAGGTCGCGGAATGATACCAACCGACATTGACATTGAATCAAACCACTCGGGATGACATGGAAATATCTAGGATGATATTTGGAATCATAAGCAAGTTTTAAAAATATGGTACATATGTCTTGATGAGAAAATAGATCTTACTATATATGAGGAAAGTTGAAACAACAGTTATGTTAAAACAACACCCTAAGTAAAAAGAGAGTCAATAGGAGTAGTTGTTAATTAACATACCATTCCATGCTTAGTTGACCAATGAGTAAATTGAATAACTTTGCTTTTCTTAAATAATTTTGCTGGTCTTGTTATTGTAAGAAATAACTAATGTTATGTTGACCAAATTTCACAACTTTCTCTAAGGTTTTCTATGCATTTTTTCATTTTTGAGAATTTGTTGCATTTAGTAATTTGCCCGTCAAATTAATGAACCAAATTTGTTATTGCCGTTGAATTAATAAAGGGTCTTCATATTAGATTTGATCAAAAACTTGTGTTAAAACTGATGTTCTTAGCTTATTTGCACATCAAGCAAATCCTTTCGAATTTTAGTTTGATTTTCAAAATATGATTTATTTCAATTTGAATATTAAGCGAGATTTAAATTTTAATTATTTTTAGTTCATTTATAATATGACTGAATTTGAACGAATAGAAATTAAGTAGATCAAAAGTAACCTATGTGTGAAGATGACTGACTTGTATTATTTCATAACTTTCTCTAAGGTTTTCTATGCATTTTTCATTTTTGAGAATTTGTTGCATTTAGTAATTTTAGTGTTCAATTGTACGATTCAAGAGTAATTCGAGAGTAAATAACAAGGAAATATGTTATTTCGGTTATAAGATTCGATCCCAAAAGTATTCTTAATCTTTCTTTTATTTAAAAATCATGTGTAAACTCGTCAACTTGTCTCTTTTAACTTTTAAAATTAAAAATCATTTGTTTTGTAATGAATTAAACCTGTTTGGTAATATAAAATTCATATCACTTCATATTTTGAGTAGAAAGACACCTACTTATCACTTAATACTGAAAATGTTAGTCAGTAAGGATTTTATAAATTTCTCATAATAAATATATCTTCAATGCATTTTACACTCTTAACTTTTTAATACCCACCATTTATCACTACTATCGTTGTGCTGCTACCACTATTGTTGCTACCATAACTGTGACACCACCACCCCCATCGTCACTACCATCATTGTGTCGACGCCACCACTGCCGTCATCACCATTACCATTGCTGCTATCATCATTGTGTTGTCACCACCACCACCATTGTGATGTTGGTGGTAAGAATAAGATAGTTGTAGTGAAATGATTAAAAAAGAATGGTAAAAATTAGAATAGTATCAATTTTTAGACTTCAATTCTTTTATACTCCTATTTGACAAATAATTTGATTCAATTCAATACTTAAATTCCAATTGATATTAAAACAATCTGCGAATTCAAAAATTTAACATTCAATACTTAAAATTTAGCATTCAGTTTATAGTATTCAACTTTTAATTTTATCAAACACCACTTTAATCTAATAATCACTTGTGACACTCTAAACTGAGAGAACATAAGATGAAGCCTTTTCTTAATGTGGTGAGGAGTTTTCACGTGTCAGCTACCTAATTCGATCCTCTCCATTAATCTAAATTTGAGATATATTGTGCAACAAATAAACACTGCATGACACATGAAAAATTGCTTGCAATGAAAAGATTTGTTGCATTATTGATCAGTTTTCGTACATATATAATTTTCCATAAAATTAACAACATAATTAACTTAAATGTTTTTCAATTTACTTCCAAGCTTCCTTAATCCATACTTATGTAATCATGTAGGTGACTTCAAAATTGATTATTAAAAACAAAAATGACACAATTTCGGAGATAAAAAGTGTCTCACACAAGCCATTCTTCTAAACATTTTTTGCATTACCTATCGGGCGTTTAACTCTCTTACTTTATACATCTAGAATTAAGATTTCACCGTGCTATAAAGAATATCATACAGTACACAAAATAGAGAGTAAAAATTATCGAATGTCTATTTTGGACAAGATGCCAAAAATTATTACAAAATAATTGTAAACTTACAACTCAATAGAAGATCCTTGGATCGCTCCTAGCATTGCGATTATTTCTAATATTTTAGTATGAGAATAACTTTTTTTTTAGAGCTAACTTAATTTATAAGTCTATAAGAAGACTCAAATTGATTCATAACCTTACCGAATTGGATTATAACCTTATCCTCGTTTTGTATCTTTTGCAATAGTACCAATTTCAATATAATAGTTGCTCTCAATAAGAGTTAAAACTCTCTTTCGCAAGTAACATGTCTCAGATACATTACTTCTCACATTCTTTAAGAATTAATCACACTTACTTCTTCGAGAACATGTTATTAAACTAGTTCGAGTTATTGTGACTAGTCTCAGAGCTCGAAAGAATAGGTGGCGCAAGCCTGAACACCCTATAACAAAATAAAAATTAGAGTTAAATTTAGGAATGGTAATTTCTGACACAACACGAAAACGCGACTCGAACTCAACGCGAAATTAGCGAGTTAAGGTTGATCATTTTTCAATACAAACTTGTTAACACGAATAATAAATGAGTTTGGTTAGTGTCAAACATGAATAATACGAAATTGACACGATTAACAAGTTTAACTAATATTATAAAAACAAAATACTAACTATTTGTTATTGTTTATTAAGCATTGACATAATTATTGTACAAAAAATATAATTTTACTGATTATTATTGTTATGTTTATTACATTAATTTTTAATTTATAGAAAATATATGAATATGGATTCAATAAATTGATAATTTAAACTTACACTTAAATCTTAGCGTTAAGTTCCTTATTTGAGATTTATATGGGTCAACACGAACACGAATCTGAACTCGACACGAAAATAAACAGGTTAGTCGACATGACAAGATTATTTAAATAGATTAGATTAGGGTTGTCTAATACTTGACATGAACCCACATAAGCCTCCCAAAAAGCTCAAAGCCCAATGGGTTGCCCAAAAGCCCAACGGGCTAACGGGCAACTCGACCCGTACACGTGGCAAGTCTTGGGAAGCCTGCTAGCCTAGCGGGTGACGGGTAGGCCCTGTGGATTATTTTTTAGGGCAGGGGCTGGCGGCCTGCCCGTTAACAAGCCCTTTAGCCCGTCCATTAATCCAATAAAATAATTAAATTATATTTCATATTTGTATTGTTTATTTGATATTTGATTTATAATTTTTATAGATTGAGATTTGTAAATAATTGACAAATGTGTAGGTGCCAATATAATTGGGATATACTCAATTTGTAATGTAACATTGTAACTCTATATGAATATTTGTTAAATTTAATCAGTATGAATAATTTTTTTTAATTTTTTTTTTCATACCAACTTTATGTAATTTATGTCTTTTTATATTTTTTATATAAAAAATATATTTGTCGATCCCAAGTCCGTTTTGGCCCAATAGGCCGGCCCATAGCACAACCTATAAGTTAAAAAATGTCGGGCTGGATCGGCCTTGCCCGGCCCGACCCATTATCGAAGCATAATTTATACTAAGATAATACGATATGATTGACACTTCTAAATAAATTTAATCATGATATCAATTATGTCCAATCATGAAGGGACACATATGAAATTTATTATTTTCTAATTTATTATATTTTTTATTTGTCATGATCATTTATTTTAAATCACTTAAATCAAAGATTTATAATTTCAAATAAATTTTTGGGTAACTTTTCGATTTCACATCGATATTTTCGTCAAGATATATACATAGTGTTTTCGTGAAAGGTGAAACCCAGTGACATCATTAAATCGCGATACGATATATAGCCGACAACTTCTGAAGACTCACGAGAGAGTTAAGCATTGGATACCCT